CTTAAGACCTTCGTAGCATCCCTGTGATCGAAATTCGGAGTCAGCTTGGCAACGGACTCGTAGTTATGACCGTTGCCGGGTCCCCAGGTCACGTGTTCCCCTTTTTCCGACCTTCTGCCAATGGGGAAAGCCAGATTCACTTAACAACCGTGTTACTCACTTAACAGCTGCAGGGATTTCACTTAACAACGGTGGCAGGAAAAGTCATGAAATGGGACAAAACTCACTTAACAAATGTTTCATTTAGGGATGGAAATTTTGGGCTCAATTGTGGTCGTAAGTGGAGGACTTCCTGTATAAAATTAGGTTGAATATTTCCATTAGGGAACTGGAGCGAGGGAAGGCTAATGGCCTCTGGGTTGAAAGGCTGGCTTTTTCCCCAGGAGGAACTCAAAAGGCAGTAGTACCTTGTGGACCTCTTGAGTCCAAATAGAATAGAATAGAATAGAATAGAATAGAATAGAATAGAATAGAATAGAATAGAATAGAATAGAAATACAGAATGGAAATACAAAATAGAATAGGATAGAATAAAATAGGATAGAATAGAATAGAATAGAATAGAATTATAGAATGGAAATACAGAATAGAATAGAAAAGAATAGAATAGAATGGAGTGGAGTGGAGTGGAATGGAATGGAATGGAATAGAATAGAACAGAATAGAATAGGACAGAATAGGATAGGATAGGATAGGATAGGATAGAATAGAATAGAATAGGACAGAATAGGATAGAATAAGAATAGGATAGGATAGGATAAGGTGGAGTGGAGTGGAGTGGAGTAGAGTAGAGTAGAATATATGGAATGGAATGGAATAGAATAGGATAGGATAGGATAGAATAGAATAGAATTACAGAATGGAAATACAGACTAGACTAGAATAGAATAGAACAGAGCAGAACAGAATAGGATAGAATAAGGATAGGATAGGATAGGATAGGATAGGATAGGATAGGATGGAATAGAATGGAATAGAGTGGAGTGGAGTGGAATAGAGTAGAGTAGAATATATGTAATGTAATGTAATGTAATGTAATAGAATAGAATAGAAACAGAATTACAGCATGGAATAAGAATAGAATAGAATAGAATAGAATAGAATAGAATAGAATAGAATAGAATAGAATAGAAGAGAATAGAATATAGACACTGGAAGGGACCTTGGAGGTCTTCTAGTCCAGCCCGCTGCCCAAGCAGAAGAATCCAAAGATCCAAAAAGCAAGATTTAGCCTTTTAGTTAGCCTATCATCGTGCTGGCTGGGGAATTCTGGGAAGTTGCACAAGGCTTAAAGTCGCCAAGGCTGGAACACCCCCCCCCCCCGGTTCTAAAGCAAGGATTTTTCTATCTTCCTGTTCCTTCCTTTTAGTTTTCTGTCCCTGTTAAAAACCTCAGGAATCTCCGTCCAAGAGAAGTTCACGCCTCTCTGATCTTGGCCATCATTCCTTCAGGGTCATTAAAGGTCTAATTCTGCTTAAACCCAAGCAAGATGTTCCCCTCTTTTGCCAATGCTCTTTATAGATTTCCAAAGAGGCCAGAAGGTGCCTCTTAAATCTGCTCTGGGTGGAAATGACAGCCTGCAGGTCACCCGCCTGGGTGAAATCTACCCTGGATTTATGAGGTCAGCGTAAAGAACTTTCTGAGAAGGACTATTAAAAAAAAACAAATCCAACTTTGGGCACTTTAAGAAAAGAACAGGACGGTATCTGCACCGATCAATGATTTTGCTTCTAAAATTACCCATTTGGGAACCCAAAGCTTTCTTGATTTATCACTTACACAGTGATTGCTCCTCGGAGTTTTAGCTTACACGCTCCCTACTCAAGAGAGATGGCTGCTAATTCCAAGCTCAAGAATGAAATGAATTAGGTTCTAGAACAAGGGTCTTTCAACTGGGCCCTTTGATGACTTGTGGACTTCAACTCCCAGAATTCCTCAGCCAGCGTGCTCGGCTGAGGAATTCTGGGAGTTGAAGCCCAGGGGGACTTCCAACTTGGCCCTTTGATGACGTGTGGACTTCAACTCCCAGAATTCCTCAGCCAGGCACGCTGGCTGAGGAATTCTGGGAGTTGAAGTCCACACGTCATCAAAGGGCCAAGTTGGAAGAGCCCTGTTCTAGAAGATTCCAGGCCCTGTCAGCCTCCCTGAGGCCTTCTGTTTTTCGCTTCCATTTTGGACAGGTGGTTCTTGACTTACGACAATTGCGCCCAAAATTTCTGTTGCTAAGTGAAACAGTGGTTAAGCGGGTTTTGCTCCATTTAATGACCTTTCTTGCCGTAGTTGTTAAGTGAATCACTGCAGTTAATGACACGGTTGTGAGGTGAATCTGGGATTCAGGGGCCCTCCAGGACAGGGCTCTTCAAACGTAGCCCTTTGATGACTTGTGGACTTCAACTCCCAGAATTCCTCAGCCAGGCATGCCTGGCTGAGGAATTCTGGGAGTTGAAGTCCACAAGTCATCAAAGGGCCAAGTTGGAAGAGCCCTGTTCTAGAAGATTCCATGCCCTGTCAGCCTCCCTGAGGCCTTCTGTTTTTCGCTTCCATTTTGGACAGGTGGTTCTCGACTTAACGACAATTGTGCCCAAAATTCCTGTTGCTAAGTGAAACACTGGTTAAGTGGGTTTTGCCCCATTTAATGCCCTTTCTTGCCGTAGTTGTTAAGTGAATCACTGCAGTTACTGACATGGTTGTGAGGTGAACCTGGCTTCCACGTTGACTTTGCTTGTCAGGGGGTCGCAAAAGGGGATCGTGTGACCCCTGAGGACGCTGCGACCGTCATAAATACGAGTCGGTTGCCCAAGTGACCAAATTTTGATCCAGCGGATGCTGTAGCGGTCATAAGTGTGGGAAAACGGTCATAAGTCGGTTTTTTCAGCGGCGTTGTAACTTGGAACAGTCACTAAATGAACGGAATGAGGAATACCTCTCAGGTTTTCAACAGAATTCAAGGCTGCAGATGGGGATGGTCGCACAATGGAGAAAAGAGTCTAACATTCAATATACATGGCTGAGTTGTGCCCCATAACCAAGACACAAGCGTAACAAATCTCTTAACATTTAGACCTATCTGGTTTATTTATATGATTTTTACAATTTCTATGAGGGATAAATTTCTGCTGATGACCCCAACGTCCTGGTCGCTGCAAACTTTATACGTTCTCCTAGCTGTGCTGGGCTTCCTTCAAATATCTTTAAATACAATCCATCCATTTCCCCCTATATATCCTCTGGAAACTAACAGCTGGCTTTTTTAAAACAGCAAACCAACCGTAAACAACACCTCAAACAAGAAGCACCAACTCAAGAGGAAGAAGGTAACAGCGAATAATCGTCTAATCAAGGAATTCATCAATGCTGACAAGGCAAGCTATTTGTATATACAAATGAGTGCAAACCTCACTCCCTAGTAGCACTGATGACGTTACCTAGTTGGGTCGTGAAATGTCCGCCAGAAAGCAACCCAACTCAGACTGGACAGCCATTTGTCTGAAATGGTATAGGGTTTCCTGCCTGAGCAGGGGGTTGGACTAGATGACCTCCAAGGTCCCTTCCAACTTTATTATTATTATTGTTGTTGTTGTTGTCATCATCATCATCATCATCATCATCAAGGATCTCTCAGAAATTGTCCAGATTGAGAAAAACAGCCACAAGGGAATGTCTTTTCCAGTCTTTCCTCCAGAAGAGTGCAATTAATTAATTAATTAATTAATTAATTAATAAAATTTATATGCCGCCCAATCCCTAGGGACTCAGGGCGGCGTACAAAATTAAAACAATAAATATAACAATAAAAATAAGTACATTCACTCATGCATGAGTCCCAATCGTATCCCGCCCCCCCCGTGGACATCAACATTTCTAAATAATAATGGTGGGATAGGAGGGAGGGACTCACACAGTCCTCCTCCTCCTCCTCCTAGCATTGAAGATGTTCCCTAGCTGGGTTATGAAACGTCTGCAAGAAAACCACCCAGCTCAGAAAGCACCAAGGACCCCCCCCCACAGTCCTTCTTCTTCTCCTCCTCCTCTTCCTCCTCCTCCCCTTCACCCCCTCCTCCACTCCATAAACCCCACTGCCTTTGAGCCTGATGATATTACTTAGTTGGGTCATGAAATGTCTGTAAGAAAACAACCAGACAGCACCAAGAACCCAGAATCCTCCTCCTCCTCTCCTAGCACAAACTCTCCTCCCTCCTAGCATTGATGATGTTACCTAGCTGGGTTATGAAACGTCTGTAAGAAAAGCACAAGCTCAGAGAGCACCCAGGACCCCACAGTCCCTCTCCTTCTCTTCCTAGCACTGCTGCTGTTGCCTAGCAGGGTGATGAAATGTCTGCAAGAAAACAGCACCAAGGACCCCACAGTCCTCCTCCTCTCTGCATACCCACTGCCTCCTAGCACTGATGATGTTACCTAGTTGGGTAATGAGACGTCTGCAAGAAAACAAACAAGCTCAGTGTGCACACCAAGATCCCCACCGCCTTCCTCCTCCTCCTCCTCTTCTCCTTCTCCGCAAACCGCACTCCCTCACAGCCTGATGGTGTTACCTAGTCGGGTCATGAAACGTCTGCAAAAAAAACCCACCCAGCTCAGAGAAGCACCAAGGACCCTCACAGGCTTTTGAAACAAATACTTTTTCAGGGAGTCGAAGGCTGAACCAATTCTGACTCCAGGATTGCCTTGGTGTCACGGCCGATGTGCGAAGGGCTGACGGCCCGTCTGCAAGATCCTTAGTGGATCAGATGGATTAACGGGAGATCTTTTCCCTCACCAAGTCAAGCCTGGCCCTGTTTATCTGGATATTAATCCTATCAAGGTCTGGGGAAGAACGAGAGTTTTTCCCTCCATAGTCAGGGCAGGCAGAAGAGAAAATGCAGACAGCTCCTCCACTGATTTTTTTTTTATTTTATTGATTACTTATTTACCGATCACACTTGCAAGTGACCCTGGGCGGCTTGCATTTTATATCAAACAATTTTTAAAAAAATAATACTTACTTTATTTGCAGCAGCCAGTGGAGAGTTCGAGGAAGCGCTGAGAAGTCTCATGGAGACCTCCAGGTGTTGTGGGGGAAGGAAGAAATTGGGCACCATAATAGGCTCGGATCTGAGGGACAGAGTTAAGGAACAGAACAGGTGGGGCGTACACAGACATTCCTCGACTTACAACGGTTCATTTAGTGACCGTCCGAAGTGACAAAGGCACTGGAAAAAGCGACTGACGGCCGTTTTCCACACTTGACGACCGTTGCGGGGTCACGCGATCAAAATTCGGACTCACCGACTCACATTTATGACGGTTGGACGCTGCGGTGGTCCCCGGGGGTCCGGCGATCCCCTTTTGCGACCTTTTGACGGGGAAGACGGATTCACTTAATAGTTGTTCAATTATGAGCCGAGGTGGCGCAGCAGTTAAGAGTGCAGTACTGCAGGCCACTTTAGCTGACTGTGTTCAGCAGGTCAGCGGTTCAAATCTCACCGGCTCAAGGTTGACTCAGCCTTCCATCCTTCCGGGGTAGGTAAAATGAGGACCCAGATTGTTGGGGGCAATGTAAATGTATATATATATACATTGCTTACTGGTGTACACCGCTTAGAGAGTGCTTGCACTTAAAGCGGTCTATAAGTCTCATAAATAAATAAAATAAATTACGGTCGTATGTCGAGGACTGCCTTGATTTCAGTTCTGTGCCTGGGGGAGATTCTTCCGATGAAGAGACAGGGAGCCCTTTTCTTCCCAGGGTCCGTCGCGGCTGGGAAGATTCCCAGAATGCTCTGGGACCACGTCAGAACCTCCACGGGATCCTTCTTCTCCCCCGGGCATTGATGTCAATTGGTAGCCCCCTCCCCATTTTTTCCTGAGGTTTCACAGAGAAATCCTTCTTAGCCAAGTTGGGTTAACCCCCAGGTTGCTTCCACTTGAGATGGGCAGAATATAAATGTAATAAATAAATTTATCTCCCCCTAGAGCTGGCACCTGTCTAGATCTAGAATGACTAGTGGAGAAGAAGGCAGAGCTTCACAGAGACAATTTTGGTTGCGAAGACACCAGTCTAGAAAATAGGAGACGGTGAGTTGTAGTCCCGCCTTAGCCATGAAAGCCGACTGGGTGACTTTGGGCCAATCACCAGGAGACGGTGAGTTCTAGTCCCGCCTTAGGCATGAAAGCCGGCTGGGTGACTTTGGGCCAATCACCAGGAGACGGTGAGTTCAAGTCCCGCCTTAGGCATGAAAGCCGGCTGATTGACTTTGGGCCAATCACCAGGAGACGGTGAGTTCTAGTCCTACCTTAGGCATGAAAGCCGACTGGGTGACTTTGGGCCAATCACCAGGAGACGGTGAGTTCTAGTCCTGCCTTAGGCATGAAAGCCGGCTGGGTGACATTGGGCCAATCACCAGGAGACGTTGAGTTCTAGTCCCGCCTTAAGACAGGAAAGCCAGCTGGGTGACTTTGGGCCAATCATCAGGAGACGGTGAGTTCTAGTCCCGCCTTAGGCATGAAAGCCGGCTGGGTGACTTTGGGCCAATCACCAGGAGACGGTGAGTTCTAGTCCCGCCTTAAGACAGGAAAGCCGGCTGGGTGACTTTGGGCCAATCATCAGGAGACGGTGAGTTCTAGTCCCGCCTTAGGCATGAAAGCCGGCAGGGTGACTTTGAGCCAATCACCAGGAGATGGTGAGTTCTAGTCCCGCCTTAGGCATGGAAGCCAACTGGGTGACCTTGGAGCAGTCCCTCCCTCCTTCCCCAACCCACCTCACAGGGTTGTGGTGGGGAGAATAGGAAAAGGAAGGAGCATTAGGTTACATTGGCTGCCTTGAGTTGTTTATAAAAATAACAAACAAACAATGTCTATGGAGATTGTCCGTCCTCCAGGTCCTGGTTGTCCCAAAGGTGCTTTGTCAGGAGGCAAGTGGACTTTCTTGTTTTTCTTTGAAGACGTTTCGCTTCTCATCCAAGAAGCTTCTTCAGCTCTGACCGGATGGTGGGGAAGGGAAGGATTTATACTCCTTGTAGAAAAACTGGTCATTTGCATTCTTTTTAGAGGGTCCTTGAGGCCACTTGGAGGTTTGTCTGTGTCCCCAAAGTCACCCGAGTGGGGCAAATGGGTGTGGAGCTTTCTTGGAACTGCTGAACGGACGGTGTTGTATAAACATAGATAAACCTCCAAGTGGCCTCAACGACGACTCTCTAAAAGGATGCAAATGACCGGTGTCTGCAAGAAGGATAAATCCTTCCACTCCCCAACATCCACTCAGACTGTGGGTGTGAAGCCTTCTTGGAACTGTGGAAAGGACTGTGTTGCAGATTGGAGATAGATAGACTACCCATTTGCATCACTCAGGACACAAAAAAACCCCTCCCAGTGGCCTCAACGGCTCTCTAAAAGAATGCAAATGACCAATTTTTCTGCAAGGAGTATAAATCCTTCCCTTCACCCACCATCCAGTCAGAGCGGAAGAAGCTTCTGGGATGAGAAGCGAAACGTCTTCAAAGAAAAGGCTCCACACCCATTTGCACCACTCGGGTGATGCCGAGGACACAGATAAACCTCCAAGTGGCCTCAACGACTTGCTAAAAGAATAAAAATGACCAGCTGTCTGCAAGGAGTATAATAAATCCTTCCACTCCCCTCCATCCAGTCAGAACCTGAAGAAGCTTCTGGGATGAGAAGTGAAACGTCTTCAAGGAAAAAACCAAAGGTGTTTTTTCAGGAGGCAATTGGACTTCCTTGTTTTTCTTTGAAGACGTTTCGCTTCTCATCTTCACCATCCGCTCGGATTGGATGGTGGGGAGTGGAAGGATTTATACTCCTTGCAGACAGCTGGTCATTTGCCTCCTTTTAGAGAGTCGTTGAGGCCACCTGGAGCAGTGGTTCTCAACCTGTGGGTCGGGACCCCATTTGGGGTTGAACGACCATTTCACGGGGGACGCCAAACAACGCAGTCCGCCATTTTCCCCCCCTTTTCCTTAGCTGTGGCTACTCCCTTTTATTCTATTGGCTTTTGAAAGCCAATAGAATAGACTCTCTTGAATAGAGTCTAATTCTATTGGCTTTCAAAAGCCAATAGGAATGGTCCAGGCTGTCTCTGCCCTGCTGAGCCTGCCAAAAGTCCCATTCTGCAAACGGTGCTGCACCCGTTGAGTAGTCCTCGACTTACGACCGGTTGAGTAGTCCTCGATTTACAACCGGTTGGGGGGTTGCGGCATTAAAAAGGTTGAGAACCACTGGGATAGACAAATACCTCTTCCTCATTATCTGTTATTCGATTTGATCAGGAGATGGCAACAATCAAATCTGGGCTTTTTGTTCTGCTGGGAACCATGGTGCCCCTCAAAAAAGCCGGCCTTCAGCACAACGGCTACCTTAGGTAAGGCCTGGATAAGGCTGTGCTAACTACAGGTAGTCTTTTGAGACTTACAACCTCCATTTAGTGACTGTTGGAACTGGCAACGGCATGGGAAAAAGCCACTGGTGACCGTTTCCCACACTTAACGACGGTCGCCGCCTCCCCATGGGCACGGGATCCAAATAAAGACCCTTGGCAAGTGTTTCGCACTCGCGACGGTTGCAGCATCCCGGAGTCATCGACGGGGAAGCCAGATCCACTTAACAGCCGTGCGGCTAACTTCAACAGCTGCAGCGATTCGCACAACAACTGCGGCAAGAAAGGTCGTCAAAGGGGGGGAAACTCACTGAACAACGGTCTCGCTTAACGACGGAAATTTTGAGCTGAACTTGAGGTCGTTAAGCTGAGAACTGCCTGCAATCCTGTCCCTGGCCCTCCTGGTTAGTTTCGGTGGCTGACTTCGGCTGAATTTTAGGCCGTAAAGCTTAGATTCTCTTTAAGGGCTTGCAGACTTCCCGCCGTTCTTGGAAAACAAAAAACTTGGGAAATTAGTAATCATTAAAAGAGGCCCGCAGCCTTGACCGCTTTTTCTTGGAAACCGCAGGGCAAAAGGTTCAGTGACTTGAGCAGGAGAGCCCGGGCTGGTTGCACAGACTTTGGTCCTTGCTAGCTTAGGGGTTCTGGGAATCGTAGTCCCGCATTTCTGGCAGATACTAATCCAAAGAAGGCTGTGCTGAGGTTTTAGCAAGAAGGAACTGCGTCACAGGACACAACCATTTTATGAAGTACATAAAACTTCATAGGAACTCCCAAGAAGTAGAGAGTCCTTGACTTATGACTGTAATTGAGTCTGCGGTTACAAGTCGGGCCGGTCACATGGGGGGAGGAGGAGGAGGACTGTGTGGGGGTCCTGGGTGCTCTCTGAGCTTGGTGGTTTTCTTGCAGACGTTTCATGACCCAACTAGGTGATATCATCAGTGATAGAAGGGAGGAGGAGGAGGAGGAGGGGGAGGAGGAGAACTGTGGGAACCTTGGTGCTCTCAGTGTTTGATGGTTTGCTTGGAGACGTTTCAATACCCAACTATAGAAAATCATTAGTACTAGATCCTACCACTGATGATGTTACCTAGTTGGGTCATGTAACGTCTGCAAGAAAATCACCAAGCTCAGAGAGCAACAAGGACCCCACAGTCTTTCCTTCCTTCCTTCCTTCCTTCCTTCCTTCCTTCCTTCCTTCCTTCCTTCCTTCCTTCCTTCCTTCCTCCCTCCCTCCCTCCCTCCCTCCCTCCCTCCTCCTCCCTTCTAGCACTGATGATGTCACCTAGTTGGGTCATGAAATGTCTGCAAGGAAACCACCAAGCTCAGAGACCACCAAGGACCGCACAGTCTTTCTTTCTTTCTTTCTTTCTTTCTTTCTTTCTTTCTTTCTTTCTTTCTTTCTTTCTTTCTTTCTTTCTTTCTTTCTTTCTTTCTTTCTTTCTTTCCTTCCTTCCTTCCTTCCTTCCTTCCTTCCTCCCTCCCCCTTCTCCCTTCTAGCACTGATGATGTCACCTAGTTAGGTCATGAAATGTCTGCAAGAAACCCACCAAGCTCAGAGGACACCAAGGACCCCACAGTCAGTCTGTCCTTCCTTCCTTCCTTCCTTCCTTCCTTCCTTCCTTCCTTCCTTCCTTCCTTCCTTCCTTCCTTCCTTCCTTCCTTCCTTCCTTCCTTCCCTCCCTCCCTCCCTCCCTCCCTCCTTCCTCCTCCTCCTTCTCCCTTCTAACACTGATGTGGTTCCCTAGTTGGGTCATTAAATGTCTGCAAGAAAACCACCAAGCTCAGAGAAGCACCAAGGACCCTCACAGTCCTTCCTCCTCCTCCTCTTCCTCCTCCTCGTCTCCACCCACCCCCCTCCCTTCTAGCTCTGATGTTGTTATCTAGTTGGGTCATTAAACGTCTGCAAAAAACCCACCATGCTCAGAGAGCACCAAGGATCTCACAGTCCTCCTCCTCCTCCTCCCTTCTAGCACTGATGATGTTACCTAGTTGGGTCATGAAACCTCTCTTAGAAAACCACCCAGCTCAGAGAGCACCAAGGACCCCTCAAAGCTCTGTCAACCAGGTCCATCTTCCTCAACCCTTGTCTTCCTGGACTTCTCTTCCAAGACTGGGAGTCGAAGTCAAGCTGAGGAAAGGTCGGTTGTGACAGCACCGAGGGTCACGCTGAAGAAGTAAAAGGAAGCGTCCTCCTCGTGGACATACCATCATTTATTCAAAGAGGTGAGGGCGTTGTGCGCCGCTGACAAGGCGAAAAAAGGATACAGGGCGAGCATGGGCGCGCTGAACTCTTCGGGCAGGTCTTCGTCATCTTCTCCCGAAGAGGCCTCGGCCTGCTGCACGATCTCTTGCGAGGCGGGACAAGGCTGGAGACCCTCTCCTCCTTTCCCGCGGATTCCTTCTTCCTGCTGGGGGTCCCTCTGCCGGTTTTCCGTCCCTTCTCCCGCTTCTGGAGCAGCCGTCGGTGGTCTGACGAAGTCTCCACCTTGCTGGGTGGAGGATGCGTCTTCAAGTCCTGCTTCCGGGACTTTCGGTGGTCTTCCTTGACCAAACGTTCGGATTTCTACTGGTTCCGCCCGCTCGGAGGATTCGTCTTCCCCAGCGTCTAGATCTTGTCCTTCCTCAACTCCGTCCCCGTCTTCTTCTCTGAAAGGGCTCTTTCCGGATCCAGCGAGGCTGGACACGCTCAAAGGATCATCGTGGATCCCGTTAGAGAGGGAGCTGCTTCTGAGGGCGCTCTCCTTCGCTAAAGATCCCCCATCCCGGGTCAGGTTGGCCTCGGGGACGGGTTCCTGCTCGGTTTCGGACACAAAGCTGGACCAGGGACTGGTTCTGTCCGTCACGGTGGTGATTTCGTTCAGGGTTCTAGGTTCTACAACGGCCTCTTCGTACTCTTCCTCGCTGTGGGACTGAGCAGGGTCAGATGGACACGACGGAAGGACTCCGCGGGAGTCTGCCGGGTCAAAGAATTCATACAGCATGTCTTCTGCCGAAGGGGATTTTGGGAGGGTCAATAAGGCTTCTTCACCTATCCTGACACTCAACAATTCATCGCTGGGAAGAACCTGGAGCAACTCGGTCCTCGTGACTCCATTCCGCTGTTCAAGGAGGGCCTGCTCAGCACTTGAGAATCCGTCCACGTCTCCGTGAGCGAGGGAGGACTCTTCAGGAGGGCTTCTCCTCTTAGGCCATAGATCTAAAAAAAAAGAAAAGGGGGGTCTTGATGCGTTGTCAAGAAAGGGGGACCAGCAGGCTTTTGTAATAGAAAAAGGAACAAGACAGGGATGCCCGTTGTCTCCGTTATTGTTTGTTTTAACACTGGAAATTTTGTTGATTAAAATTCGGGAGTCTCAAGAAATAAAAGGAATAGAAATTAATAAAAAAGAATATAAATTAAGAGCCTTTGCAGATGACTTGGTTGTTACTTTGTCTCAACCTGTTTCTTCGGTGGTGAAATTATTACAATTGATTCAACAATATGGACGTGTTTCTGGCTTTAAAATTAATAATAATAAGACCAAAATATTAGCTAAAAACATGACTAATGGTGATAAACAGGCTCTAGTTAACTTAACAGACTTTGAAATTGTTGATAAGGTAAAATATTTGGGGGTTACATTATCTGCTTCTAATGTAAAATTGTATAAAAATAATTATGAAAAGCTGTGGATGGAGGTACAGAAGGATTTAAAAAACTGGAATAATTTACAGTTATCCCTTATGGGCAGAATTGCAGTTATTAAAATGAATGTCCTGCCAAAGTTTATTTTTTTGTTTCAAATGTTACCTATCTTAAAGAACGAATGTAATTTAGATGAATGGCAAAAAGGTATTAATAAATTTGTTTGGGCAGGGAAAAAACCAAGGGTGAAACTTAAAATAATGCAAGATTTTCGTGAGAGAGGTGGACTCAAGGTACCAAATATGAAATTGTATTATGATGCTGTAGTATTGACATTGATTAGCGACTGGGTGAATTTAACAAATACAGAAATACTTCATTTGGAAGGCTGGGACCTACTTTTTGGATGGCATGCCTATTTAATATTTAATAAAAAAGTGGATTGGGTTTTTAAGTCTCATATTATAAGAAACTCTTTGCTAAGAGTGTGGAGAAAGTATTATAAAAGTGACTTCAAAATACCATTATGGGCTATACCTCGGCATGCCATAGAAGGTATAAGGAAAGGGGTAAATATGGACAAGGTCTCTTACGTACAGTTATTAAGATGGGATGGCCAAGACTGGCAGTTAAAATCTTTGGAAGAATTAACACATGAAAACTTAACTTATTCATGGTTCCAATATAGACAAATAGTGGATAGATGGAAGATGGATTGTAAAATGGGCTGGCTTAGAGAAGATGAAATTTTTTTAAAACAAGTAAGAGATCAAAGGCCAACCCATATTAAGAGAGTTTATGGGGTTTTAGTGGAATTAGATTCAGAACTTGAACTAGTTAAAGATTGTATGATTAAATGGGCACAGAATATTGGTGAAACGATTTCAATGGATACTTGGGAACTTATTTGGATAAGAAATGTTAAATTCACACAAGCGCAAAATTTAAGAGAGAATTTTTATAAGATGTTTTATAGATGGCACCTTGACCCAAAGAAAATGTCCATTATGTACCCTAATCTACAGCCGAAATGCTGGAGATGTGGATATTTGGATGCTACCTATTACCATATTTGGTGGACGTGTAAGCATATAAAAGCTTTTTGGATTAAGATATGGTGGAATATTCAAAGAATTTTTAAAAGGAGGGTAAAATTTACTCCGCAATTATTTTTACTAGGTATTGTTATTGACTGTGATGCTAAGGAGGTTATATTGATGTTAAATTTGATTACAGCCGCTAGGTTGTTAATAGGACAATATTGGAAGAAGGAATCTTTGCCTACTTTACAAGAATGGTTTCATAAAGTTTCGTATTTGGCAGAAATGGCAAAGATTTCGGCTTTCTTAAAGGAGCAATCTCAAGAAAAATTTTTTGCGGTATGGGAAAAATGGATAAATTTTATACAACATAATTTGGATATGGAAAAATATTATTAGCCTTTTTATAATTTGTAATGATTGTTTTTTCTTTCTTTCTTTCTTCTTTTTCTTTTTTATATATATACATTTTTTATGTATTATTATTCATATATTTTTTTTTTATATATATATATATGCTTTATTCTTCGTCTACTTTCTTCTTTCTTCTTTCTCTCTCTCTTTTCTCTTTTTATTTTTTTTTTTTCTTTTTTAGTATATATTATTCATTTTAAAGTTTATGTTATCTATATTATTATTATATATATTATTATTGTGATTTTTATTATTATTATTAATTATTTTATAAATTGCAAATGTTATTTTTAAAATATTTGTTAAATAATCCTATATTCAGTTCTGGGAAGTCGGGGGGGGGGGTGGGGTGGTTGGGGAGGGGGGGGTGGATTTTTATTTGTAAAACTTTTGAAAAATTTCAATAAAAAAAAAAAAAAAAAAAAAAAAAAAAAGAAAGGGGGACCAGCATGAAGGATTCAGCATTCGTGCAATTGCCAGGGATACCGGGCTGGCTTACGAATAGAAGAGAGCCGGAAGGGACCTTGGAGGTCTTCTAGTCCAGCCCCCTGCTCAAGCAGGAGACCCTAGACCAGTGATGGCGAACCTTTTAGAGCAGTGGTTCTCAACCTTTTTAATGCCGCGACCCCCAACCGGTTGAGGACTACTCAATCCCCAAGTTGAGGACTACTCAACCAGTCGTAAGTTGAGGACTACTCAACTGGTGCAGCACCGTTTGCAGAGTGGGACTTTTGGCGGGCTCAGCAGGGCAGAGACAGCCTGGACAATTCCTATTGGCTTTTGAAAGCCAATAGAATTAGACTCTATTCAAGAGAGTCTCTTCTATTGGCTTTCAAAAGCCAATAGAACAGGGGTTCTCAACCTGTGGGTCGGGACCCCATTTGGAGTCGAACGACCATTTCACAGGGGTCGCCAAACAACGCAGTCCGCCATTTTTTCCCCCCTTTTCCTTAGCTGTGCTACTCCCTTTTCTTCTATTGGCTTTTGAAAGCCAATAGAATAGGCTCTCTTGAATAGAGTCTAATTCTATTGGCTTTCAAAAGCCAATAGGAATTGTCCAGGCTGTCTCTGCCCTGCTGAGCCCGCCCAAAGTCCCATTCTGCAAACGGTGCTGCACCAGTTGAGTAGTCCTCGACTTACGACCGGTTGAGTAGTCCTCGACTTATGACTGGTTGGGGGTCGCGGCATTAAAAAGGTTGAGAACCACTGCAATAGAATAAAAGGGAGTAGCACAGCTAAGAAAAAGGGGGGAAAAATGGCAGACTGCGTTGTTTGGCGACCCCCGTGAAATGGTCGTTCGACCCCAAATGGGGTCCTGACCGACAGGTTGAGAACCACTGGTTTAGAGACCGAGTGCCCAAACTGCAACCCAAAACTCACTTATGTATTGCTGGGTGCCGGGTGGGCGCGGCCCACTGGGTGGGCGTGGCTGTGGTGCTCGTGGCAGATTGGGTGGGTGTGGCCAATGGGGGCGTGGCCAGCTCGATGTTGCTCGTGTGGAGGGACGCCTGTGGGGGCCGGGCAGGGTTGGGGGAGATCCAGGGGGTCTCGGCCAGGTGGGGCGGTGGACAGGAGGCTCGTCCTGCAGGGTGAGGCAAGGCGAGGCGAGGCAGGGTGTAAGTGCCATTGTCACAGGGCAAGGTGAAGCAGGGGCCGGGGTGGCTACTGATTGACACCATCGGCCCCCCGCACACAGAGGCCAGCGAGCGCATGGGTGCTGGGATGCATCCGGCCACGTGGGACCTCGGCGAGTTAGCGGGCGGCTCGTTGAAGAGGGACAGTTGCCATCTCCGGGGCACGGCGCGCGTGCCCACAGAGAGGCCTCTGAGTGCCGCCTCTGGCACGCGTGCCATAGGTTCGCCACCACTGATCTATCCCATTCCACACAAGTGCAACATTAAACTTACAAAGAATGAGTACAAAATGAATACAGGCCGTCCTCAATTTACTCATTTAGTGATCATCCGAAGTTATAACGGCACTGGAAAAAATAGTGGCTGATGATCGTGTTTCACGCTTATGACCGCTATAGCATCTCCATGACCACATAATCAATTGGCTTGTATCACATGATCAAGTGAAGGGTTAATACCACTTTACGAGGCCTTGGTAAGGCCACACTTGGAATCCTGCATCCAGTTTTGGTCCCCATGATGTAAAAAAGATGTTGAGACTCTAGAAAGAGTGCAGAGAAGAACAACAAAGATGATCAGGGGATTGGAGGCCAAAGCATACAAGGAACAGTTGCTGGAATTGGATCTGTCTAGTTTAATGACGAGAAGGACGAGGGGGGACAGGATAGCAGTCTTCCAGTATCTCAGGGGCTGCCCCAAAGAAGAGGGAGTCAAGCTATTCTCCAAAGCGCCTGAAGGCAGGACAAGAAGCAACGGGTGGAAACCAATCAAGGAGAGAAGCAACCTGGAACTAAGGAGAAACTTCCTGACAGTGAGAACAATTAAACTGGACATACCCAATTTCTGCAATTGTTCTTCATATGTTTTAGCCTCCAGCCCCCTAGTCATCTTTGTTGTTCTTCTCTGCCCTCTTTCTAGAGTCTCAACATCTTTTTTACATCGTGGTGACCAAAACTGGACTCCGTATTCCAAGTGTGGCCTTACCAAGGCCTTGTAAAGTGGTATTAACCCTTCACGTGATCTTGATTCTATCCTTCTGTAAAGGACCTCATGTATTAAAAACAATTTATTCCACTCTTTTTTGACAGCTAATGGGACATTTCTTCCTGAATTAAAATGTTGATGGTTGGTTTTTTCCGGACTTTGAAAGTGTAAAAAATTCTGTCTTAGCAGGCCAGTTCATGTTTCTTTGAGCTGTGACTCTAAATTAAAAAGAGAAAACTCCAGAATCTGAAGTCAGACAGAAATACAACACGGAGGGTCCTTTGCTGCATAATTATACCAGGAATATTTAAAATGTCCTGACGCACTTAGAACCCCTCAAACTGCTGATTTGAAGGATGCAAAACAAGAAATGCAGACTCACACCGATATGCCAAGACAGCCTTTTCTATGCGCAAATACTATTTAATTTCCAAGCACACATTATCATTTATGTTGCAGGAAAAGAACCAGGCCAGACTTGTGTTTTAACACGTTTGCAAAACAGCCCAAATAATCTTAAATTCTGCTTTTGCCAAGTTTTGGGCTGAGGCAGAAGCCCATCCCGGTCCCTGTCACAGACCGAAGCGATATCCAAGAAACCAACATACTTCCATTTCGGCCTTGCCAAGTCACAGCTACTGTATATATGCCTTTCACAAAGGGCGCAATTTATTAGGAAATGCTTCTGATTTGGGAAATGACTTACGACCGTTTGTCACAGTTAACGGCCGTCGCAGCATCCCTGGGGTCAGGGGATCAAAATTCAGAGGTTTGGCAACTGGCGTGGATCTGTGACGGTTGCACTGACCCAGAGTCATGTGATCGACTTGCAACATTAGTTTGGCGACTGTTCAAAGTGACAGCAGCGCTGGAAAAAGTGGCTTGTGACCATTTCCCACCCTTAAGGACCGTTGTGGCCTCCACGCGGTCACGCGATCGATATTTTGCAATCGTTATCACTTGTTGCTTGTGTGCACACCGAGAGCTTCTGTGCCGGAGACAAACTGCTTGCGTGTGTCCAATAAAGAATTCTAGTCTACTCTATTTTGAGTTTGATGGTGGCTGTAAGTCAGGGTTCTTCCAACTTGGCCCTTTGATGACTTGTGGACTTCAGCTCCCAGAATTCCTCAGCCAGGCACGCGTGCCTGGCTGAGGAATTCTGGGAGTTGAAGTCCACAAGTCATCAAAGGGCCAAGTTAGAAGACCCCTGTTGTAAGTGAAGGATTATTTTATGCCCACTGCCAAAGGCAACTGTGAGCATAAAATTGGATTGTATTATATTAGTCATTGCGGTCTTCTCCAGAGCCACCTCCACCACGTCGGTTGGTGGACAACTTACCGACATTCTGGCTGCTAACTTGAGAAACCAGATGAGTGGGCTTCTTCTGCAGATGGTCTCCTTCTGGATCTAGTTCCTTGGAGAAAGCTCTCGGGATGTCAAGACCATCCATGGTGCTACCAGGAGCATTTAAGTCTGTGAAAGGTCTGGTGAGTTTCTCACTGAAGTACCTCTGGATTTCGTCCAGCTCGTTCAGGTTTTTTCTGGAAGACAGATCAGGTGCAAGGTAAACCTCTAGCACACTAGGTCCTCGACTTACAACCATTCGTTTAGTGACCGTCTGAAGTTTACTTGGACTTCAGTAAGGCATTTGATAAAGTAGACCACAACCTACTACTTGACAAGATAGAACAGTGGTTCTTAAACTGTGGGTCGGGACCCCATTTGGGGTCGAACGACCATTTCACGGGGGTCGCCAAACAACACAGTCCACCATTTTTTTCCCCTTTTCCTTAGCTGTGCTACTCCCTTTTATTCTATTGGCTTTTGAAAGCCAATAGAATAGACTCTCTTGAATAGAGTCTAATTCTATTGGCTTTCCAAAGCCAATAAGAATTGTCCAGGCTGTCTCTGCCCTGCTGAGCCCACCAAAAGTCCCATTCTGCAAACGGTGCTGCGCCAGTTGAGGAGTCCTTGACTTATGACCGGTTGAGTAGTCCTCGACTTACAACCGGTTGGGGGTCGCGGCATTAAAAAGGTTGAGAACCACTGAGATAGAACAATGCGGGTTAGACAGCATCGCCCCCAGATGGATCCGTAGCTGGCTGACCGGACGTACTCAGTGTGTGGTCCTCAATGGAACCGCATCTACATGGAGGGAAGTGTGTAGTGGGGTGCCCCAGGGCTCTGTTCTGGGCCCAGTACTCTTCAACATCTTCATCAACAATCTGGACGAGGGGATAGATGGGGAACTCATCAAATTTGCAGATGACACCAAGCTGGCAGGAATAGCCAGCACTCCAGAAGACAGGCTTAGGATACAGGAGGATCTGGACAGACTTGAACAGTGGGCGCTATCTAACAGAATGAAATTCAAGGGTGAAAAAAGCAAGGTTCTACATTTAGGCAAGAAAACCTCAAATGCACAGGTATAGTATAGGGGGTACCTTGCTCAATAGTAGCATTAGATAGAATGCATTCAATGGAATGCTCCAACACTGGACGTTTTGAAGAAGAGACTGGACAGCCATTTGTCTGAAATGGTGTAAGGTTTCCTGCCGGAGCAGGGGGTTGGACTAGATGACCTCCAAAGTCCCTTCCAACTCTATTCTATTCTAAGAGACTGGACAGCCATTTGTCTGAAATGGTGTAAGGTTTCCTGCCGGAGCAGGGGGTTGGACTAGATGACCTCCAAAGTCCCTTCCAACTCTATTCTATTCTAAGAGACTGGACAGCCATTTGTCTGAAATGGTGTAAGGTTTCCTGCCGGAGCAGGGGTATGGACTAGATGACCTCCAAAGTCCCTTCCAACTCTATTCTTTCTAAGAGACTGGACAGCCGTTTGTCTGAAATTGTGTATAGGTTTCCTGCCGGAGCAGGGGTTGACTAGTGACCTCCAAAGTCCCTTCCCTCTATTCTATTCTAATAGACTGGACAGCCATTTGTCTGAAATGGTGTAAGGTTTCCTGCCGGAGCGGGGTTGGACTAGATGACCTCCAAAGTCCCTTTCCAACTCTATTCTATTCTAAGAGGGACTGGACAGCCATTTGTCTGAAATGGTGTAAGATTTCCTGCCGGAGCAGGGGGTTGACTAGATGACCTCCAAAGTCCCTTCCAACTCTATTCTATTCTAAGAGACTGGACAGCCATTTGTCTGAAATGGTGTAAGGTTTCCTGCCGGAGCAGGGGGTTGGACTAGATGACCTCCAAAGTCCCTTCCAACTCTATTCTATTCTAAGAGACTGGACAGCCATTTGTCTGAAATGGTGTAAGGTTTCCTGCCGGAGCAGGGGGTTGGACTAGATGACCTCCAAAGTCCCTTCCAACTCTATTCTAAGAGACTGGACATGTCTGAAATGGTGTAAGGTTTCCTGCCGGAGCAGGGGGTTGGACTAGATGACCCAGTCCCTTTTGTCTGGACAGCCATTTGTCTGAAATGTAAGGTTTCCTGCCGGAGCAGGGGGTTGGACTAGATGACCTCCAAAGTCCCTTCCAACTCTATTCTATTCTAAGAGACTGGACAGCCATTTGTCTGAAATGGTGTAGGGTTTCCTGCCTGAGCAGGGGGTTGGACCAGAGTCCAGGGGTCTTCAAACTTGGCCCTTTTAAGACTGGTGGACTTCAACTCCCAGAATTCCTCAGTCGGCCATTTTGATGAAACTGCGGGCTTAGGTCTAGACCAGGGGTCTTCAAACGTGGCCCTTTGATGACTTGTGGACTTCAACTCCCAGCATTCCTCAGCCAGGCGCGGTCCACAAGTCATCAAAGGGCCAAGTTGGAAGACCCCTGCTTTCTGGTGACTTCCGTGCCGAGTTCCTGCTCGGGCTACTGTGACGTTCGTGCCTAGCCTTGCTTAATCTTTTCACCTGAGAGCTCTGAAGAGAGACGTCTGCGAGGGACCCGAGAGTGAATCGAGCCTTCCAAAGTGGTCCGTGTTTTCTTCCGCTTGCTGTAACGACGTGTGGAACCGTCGGACATTCTGCACGTGCTCTTTGTAACGGGATCCAGTCCTGCTAAGGAAGAGACAACATCAGCTAGGCCTGGAGCAGCACTAATGTTTTCTATTTGCCCCCAAGGAAAGTTCATACACATCATCTATCTATCTATCTATCTATCTATCTATCTATCTATCTATCTATCTATCTATCTATCTATCTATCTATCCATCCATCCATCCATCCATTAAGTATTTATCTATCCATCTATTATCTATCCACCTATCAATACATCAATCCATCTATCTTCTATTCATGCCTGCCTGCCTGCCTGCCTGCCTGCCTGCCTATCTATCTATCTATCTATCTATCTATCTATCTATCTATCTATCTATCTATCTATCTATCTATCATTTATCTATCCAACTATTATCTATCCATCTATCCATCCATCATCTTCTATTCCTACATGCCTGCCTGCCTACCTCTCTCTATCCACCTACTATCTCTATTTACTGTCTATCCCTCTATTAACTACTTATCTATCCATCTATTATCTATCCATAAATCCATCTATCATCTTCTATTCCTGCCTGCCTGCCTGCCTCTCTCTCTCTATTAACTATCTATCCATCTATTATCTATCCATCGATCTATCCATCCATTCATCTATCATCTTCTGTTCCTGCATGCCTGCCTGCCTATCTCTCTCTATCCACCTATCTACTATCTATCTATCTGTCTGTCTGTCTGTCTGTCTGTCTGCCTGCCTGCCTATCTATCTATCTATCTATCTATCTATCTATCTATCTATCTATCTATCTATCTATCTATCTATCTATCTATCTACCTACTATTATCTCTATCCATCTATTAACTATTTATCTATCCATCTATTATCTATCCATCTATCCATCAATCCACCTATCATCTTTTATTCCTACCTGCCTGCCTGCCTGCCCCCATCCATCCATCCATCCATCCATCCATCCATCCATCCATCCATCCAACCATCCGTATATGCAACTCGTCTTGCTGTCACATGATACAACAGAGGAAGTAAAATTTGAAATTTTAGCCTGCCAGAATTTTGGGGAAGGCCTCAGATCCACAATGAGAGGTACCCCGGCCGACGCGTGCCTGCAACGGAATAAGCCCAACACTATGCCACATTTTTGCAGCCCTGCAACCATTTTATTTACTTGGAAAAACCATCTACCTCTTGTTTTGTCTCACCTCGCAGGACCGGGAGCTTCTGGGCTCTTCTTCCATGGAGATCCTGGAAATCTGGCCGTGCCTCTTGTGGAGAAGGAGGAGGAGAACGGAGGATATGGGTCCTTTACCTGCGAAGCAAAAGGCCTTAAGGTGGGCATCTCCAGCACATTCCTGTTCCATGACCTGTTAGGAACCGGGTCATCCAGCTGGAGGTGAGCGGCAGATGAGTGAGTAAAACCTACCATAAACCATGATTAGGGGACTGGAGGCTAAAACATTTAAGGAACAGTTGCTGGAATTGGGTATGTCTAGTCCAGTGTTTCCCAAACTTGACCATTTTAAGGCATGTGGACTTCAACTCCCAGAATTCCACAGCCAGCGTTGCTGGCTGTGGAATTCTGGGAGTTGAAGTCCACATGCCTTAAAATGGTCAAGTTTGGGAAACACTGGTCTAGTCTAATGAAGAGAAGGACGAGGGGGGACAGGATAGCAGCCTTCCAGTATCTCAGGGGCTGCCCCAAAGAAGAGGGAGTCAAGCTATTTTCCAAAGCACCTGAAGGCAGGACAAGAAGCAACGAATGGAAACTCATCAAGGAGAGAAGCAACCTGGAATTAAGGAGAAACTTAAACAAGAAAACAAGAAAAACATGAATAAATAAAATAAATTAATAAAACAATAGATAGATAAAACAATAAACTGGGGAAACAGTAAATCGGTAAAAGAGTAAATAAAAAAAACAATAAAATAAAACAAACAATAAAACAAGAAACAAAAACGAATAAATAAAACAATAAATAAATAAAACAAATTAATAAAACCATAGATAGGTAAACAATAAATTGGTAAAATAAATGGTTAAAACAGTAAATAAATAAAACAATAAAACAAAACAAAAACCAAACACGAATAAATAAAACAACAAATTAATAAAACAATAAATAAATATATATAAAGCAGTGAACTGATGAAACAATAAATTAATACAAACAATAAAACGTGCAGGCCCTTTGGTCCCACGAAAGAGGAAAGGTGTGGGGGGGACGGTGCTTTTACCTGGCAGCTTTTGGCCTGCCTCTCTCCTTTCAGGTGAGCGATATTTTCGAGTGGGCAGACGGCGACTTTCACCTGCCCCCGGCACTGCCCGCTGAGGTCGGTGACGTTGTACCAGCCGCAGATGTGCTGGAAGCCGCAGAGCAGGGGCGAGAGGTCCACGGAGGCAAAGCCCATCACTCGCTCCACGTCTGCAGGGAAAACGGCCATGTCAAAGCAGGCTGGTCGTCTCAGCGGTGCCAGCCAAAATTTGCACCTTATGACGAGAAACTTTGGTTTCTCCAAGACCTCCAAGGTCCCTTCCAGCTGTGTTATTCTATTCTATTCTATTCTATTCTATTCTATTCTATTCTACTCTATACTCATTCCATATTCTATTCTATTCTATTCTATTCTATTCTATTCTATTCTATTCTATTCTATTCTATTCTATTCTATTCTATTCTATTCTATTCTATTCCTTGTTCTGTTCTGTTCTGTTCTATTCTATTCTACTCTACTTCTATTCTATTCTATATTTCTATTCTATTCCATATTTCTATTCTATTCTATTCTATTCTATTCTATTTCTATTCTATGTTCTATGTTCTATATTCTATTCCATTCCATATTCTATTCTATTCCATTCCATATTCCATTCCATTCCATATTCCATTCCATATTCTATTCTATTCTATTCTATTCTATTCTATTCTATTCCATTCCATATATTTCCATTCTGTAATTCTATTCTATTCTATTCCATTCCATATTCTATTCTATTCTATTCCATTCCATATATTTCCATTCTGTAATTCTATTCTATTCTATTCTATTCTATTCTACTCTACTCTATTCTATTTTCTATATTCTATTCTATTCCATTTCATATTCTATTCTATTCCATTCCATATTCCATTCCATATTCTATTCTATTCTATTCCATTCCATATATTTCCATTCTGTAATTCTATTCTATTCTATTCTATTCTATTCTATTCTATTCTATTCTATTCTATTCTATTCTATTCTATTTATTCTATTCCATGTTCTATTCCATTCCATGTTCTATTCTATTCTATTCTATTCCATTCCATATTCTATTCTATTCTATTCCATTCCATATATTTCCATTCTATTCTATTCTATTCTATTCTATTCTATTCTATTCTATTCTATTCTATTCCATTCCATTCCATTCCATTCCATTCCATATTCTATTCCATTCCATTCCATTCTTAGCTTCTGACTGATCATTAGTACCAGCAGTAGTACATTTCTTTCGGTATCCATTTACTGAAATACACTGTAAGATGTGCAAACCACAAATGAATACCTGAACAATACGCAAGCAACAATGAATATCACAGCACAGGGTGGATGGGCAGATAGCTCGCAATCCATCAATTTCTTTTAAATAAGATGGCTACGCTACCGTCAGAGCTTGCTTGCCGGGAAGGAGTTGTGACTGCAGAAAGGGGTACCTGCTTTATGCCAGACTTTAAAGACCAGAGTTTTCTGGGAATCCAACAGCAGCTCCTTGGAGAGTCTGCAAAAGAATCAGAGTCAAATCGGAAACACGTTTACACCACCGCTGGAGGAAATGTCACTTTCCAGCAGCTTGTTGGGAAAGCTTTTGGTGTACGGGCAGTCCTCGGCACATGACCCACCATTGAGCCCAACATTTCCATTGCTAAGCGAGACGGTTCTTAAGTGAGTCCTGCCCCCTTTTACGACTTTCCTGGCCACAGCTGTTCAGGACATCACTGCTGTGGTTAAGAGAGTCTGGCTTACTCTTTGGGGGGATCGCGTGACCCCGGGGGGACACCGCGACCGTCATAAACGTGAGTCAGTTGCCAAGCGTACAAATTTTGATCACCTGGCCGTGGGGCTGCTACAATGGTCGTAAGTGTGAAAAACGGTCCTAAGTTTACTTTTTTCAGTGCCTGAAGGCAGGACAAGAAGCAACGGATGGAAACTCATCAAGGAGAGAAGCAACCTGGAACTAAGGAGAAAATTCCTGACAGTCAGAACAATTAACCAGTGGAACTACCTGCTTCCAGAAGTTGTCAATGCTCTAACAGTGGATGTTTTTAAAAAGAGACCGGACAGCCCTTTGTCTGAAATGGTATGGGGGGGTCTCCTGCTTAAGCAAGGGGATGGACTAGAACAGGGCTTTTCAACCTTTTCACCCATTGTACCACTTTTAGGATATGGCAACATCCGAGGACCACCAGTCGCCTAGCAAGGGGTCAAAAATGTGATAACCTCCCCCCAAAAAGGAAAAAAGTGATAAAGTACAGGTAGTCCTCGACTTACAACAGTTCGCTTAGTGACTCTTTGAAGTTACAATGGCACTGAAAAAAGTGCCCCCCCAGCCACAGCCGAGCAAGACACCTGCCTCCCCACCCGGCCGCGCTCTTCCTCCTGTCCGAAGTTTTCATTGTTGTGAGCATTTCTGTTAAGGATTGGCAGCAGGGGTGGGGTGGGGGGTGTTTGGTTTTTATCCCCCCCCCATCTGCTGGGTGGTTGCAGCCGGTTTTGGTCACTTCACACGACCCTGGGACACTGTGACCATCATAAATATGAATCAGTGGCCAAGCATCTGAATGTAAATCACAAGACCCTGGAGAGGCTGCAACATTCCAGCTGATCGGCGCTTCTTCCGGGCTCAGCAGAAGCGCCAGGATCAGTGCTGAGCTCCAGCTGGAGCCTGGCGCTCATCCTGGTGCTTCTGCTGAGCCCTGACAGCCCCGAAGAAGCGCCAATCAGCTGGAAAGCGGGACTGATCCTGGCGCTTCCGCTGAGCCCTGACAGCCCTGCAGCTCCAGCCGTCTCTCGCTCAGGCTTGTGCGGTGCTGCCCCCGGTTCAGCTCATTCCCCTCCCCCATGACCCCTTTTCTAGGATGGTCGCGTACCCCCTGCCAGGTGCCAATGGACCACAGGTGGTACCTGTACCACTGGTTGAAAAGCCCTGGTCTAGATGACCTCCAAGGTCCCTTCCAACTCTATTTTTCTATTCTAATTGTGGTCATAAGCCGAGGAGCGTTCCCAGCCCTCTATAGATGAAGGTGGGAATGTTTAGAAAATCATAAAGGATAAACTTGGCTGGTCTAGAATCCTGGTTTCTATGGGCACAAAATAGTAACCATGATTGTATTTCCAGAACAACCTATAGGTCAGGTTTTTTTGCTGCTTTTCGGCCCTGTCTCAAAACACAGCAAAACATAATCTTGCTGTTATCAGCATTTTAAATATGCTGGCAGCTCACATTTCAATGATCTCGGTGTTTAATACTATGCCTCTCTACATATTATAAGGAAGGCAAAAACACAGACCCACATGCAACTCAGATGAGGGCCTGGAGACTAAAACATACAGAGAACGGCTGCGGGATTTGGGTTTGGCTAGTCTAGAAAAAAGAAGAAATAGGGGAGACATGATAGCAGTCTTCCAGTATCTCAGGGGCTGCCCCAAAAAAGAGGAGGGGGTCACATTATTCTCCAAAGCACCAGAGGGAAAGACAAGAAACAACGGATGGAAAGACATCAAGGAGAGAAGCAGCCTGGAATTAAGGAGAAACTTCCTAACAGTGAGGACAATTAACCGGTGGAACAGCTTGCCACCAGAAATCGTGAGCGTTCCATCACTGGAGGTTTTTAAGAAGAGACTGGACATTCACCTATCTGAGATGGTGTAGGTTCTCCTGTTTGAGCAGGGGGTTGGACTAGAAGACCTCCAAGGTCCCTTCTATTCTATTCTATTCTATTCTATTCTATTCTATTCTATTCTATTCTATTCTATTTTGTATTTCTCTCTTCTCTTCTCTTCTCCTCTCCTCTTCTCTTCTGTATTTCTTTTCTATTCTATTCTATTCTATTCTATTCTATATTTCTATTCTATTCTATTCTATATTTCTATTCTATTCTATATTTCTATTCTATTCTATTTTATTTTGTATTTCTCTTCTCTTCTATATTTGTATTCTATATTTCTATTCTATTCTATTCTATATTTCTATTCTATTCTATTTTGTATTTCTCTTCTCTTCTGTATTTCTATTCTATTCTATTCTATATTTCTATTCTATTCTATTCTATATTTCTATTCTATTCTATTTTATTTTGTATTTCTCTTCTCTTCTATGTATTCTATATTTCTATTCTATTCTATTCTATTCTATTCTATTCTATTCTATTCTATTCTATATTTCTATTCTATTCTATTTTGTATTTCTCTTCTCTTCTGTATTTCTATTCTATTCTATTCTATTCTATTCTATTCTATTCTATTCTATTCTATTCTATTCTATTCTATTCTATTCTATTCTATTCTATTTCCACACAAACACCATTTTTACATTTCACCGATATGAAAGGACACAAAAAGGAACGCAAAAACCTCATGAAGAGCTGCTACAGGCAGCCCTCCGTGTACAACAATCCGTTTAGTAACCTTTCAAAGTTACCACAGCACTGGAAAAAAGAAGAGTGACCAATTTTCAGACTGACGGCCGTTGCGGCAATCCCAGGGCCACGTGATCAAAATTCAAGACCTTTGGCAACCGGCTCGTATTTATGATGGACAATTCTGACGTCTTGCGTTATTTCCGACCGGATTATTTCGGGATGTCTTAACCTACCTTGTCTGCTGCTGAAAATCCCACACGGGGGAGTCCGTGTTTTCCACCGTGGCAGTGGTAAAAGGGTTATCGGCATCTGTGGCCACGAAGGACACGTAGCTACTGGGAGACGTCACACCCCGCTCTGCCAGAGGGCTCCCTGAAAACCGAGCAATTTAGATTATCAGTTTGCGTTCTGTGATAACTTCAACGACAAAGAAACAAAAAGTCTTTTAACCTGGGTGGTTTCTCAACGGCAGGAAAGCTGAAAAACTGCATTAATAGAAGGTAGAATCCTAGAGCTGGTAGGGACCTCAGAGGTCTTCTAGTCCAACCCTCCGCTCAAGGCAGGATACCGAAGGTGAAAGAGGTCTGGGTTGGGAACAATGTTATGATTCTGGCTTCATGCAAGGGGCTGACAGTGAAAAATCTGGACTTAACTAGCCACGTTTGGCGTTTACGTTTCTTGGGAAAAACAAAAGTTGACATTCTTCTGCCTCTAATCCAGGAGAGAAGCAACCTAGAACTAAGGAGAAACTTCCTGACAGTCAGAACAATTAACCAGTGGAACCACCTGCCTCCAGAAGCGGTGAATGCTCCAACACTGGACATTTTTAAGAAGAGACTGGACAGCCATTTGTCTGAAGTGGTATAGGGCAGTGGTGGCGAGCCTATGGCACGGGTGCCAGAGGTGGCACTCAGAGCCCTCTCTGTGGGCGCACGTGCTGTTGCCCCAGCCCCACCTCCCCCCCATGGCCCATTCCTTCCCAGCAGCCCCCCTGGAGAAAAGTCACCCCCAAGTGTGGCCCACACAGAGCAGCACAGCCAAGGACATGGCAGCCAGGCAGCGTAGAAAAGACTCTGCCCTCATGCCCCATCACGCATAGTTGATGCTGCGGGGCACGGGCAGAGGGCGTGGGCGCCATGGCGCTGCTGGGCTGCCTGGGTAATTTGCGGCGGGCCCTGGAGGCGGTGAGTGGCCCTGCAGGCAGGCGGGGTGGGGGCGGGGCAGGGGCTGGAGCAAGGGCGGGGCCAGTTTTTGGGCACTCGGTCTCTAAAAGGTTCGCCATCACTGGTATAGGGTTTCCTGCCTGAGCAGGTTGGACTAGATGACCTCCAAGGTCCCTTCCAAATTTGTTATTCTGTTATCCTTCCTTCCTTCCTTCCTTCTTTCCTTCATCACTGGAGGTTTTTAAGAAGAGACTGGACGACCATCAGTCTGAAACGGTGTAGGGTTTCCTGCCTGAGCAGGGGGTTGGACTAGATGACTTCCAAGGTCCCTTCCAACATTATTATTATTATGGATCATCGCACAGTCGGCCAGATGTTCAGACTGGATTTGGCATTTTGTCTACCTATCGAGTCCTTACCCAGGACCTGGGATAGGCAGATGTGGATGTTTGATGGTATTACAGATCTCGTCGCAGGATGGAAGCAGTTCCTAGTAAGGCCGCCTTTTGCAATTGACTAATAGCGAATTTGTCAATGCCAATGGTGTTCAAGTGGTGCCCCAGTTGTTTTGGGATTGCACCCAAGGAGCCTATACTATTGGTACTACCCTTGCTTGCTTTTGCCACAGTCTTTCTATTTCTATTTGTAGGTCTTTGTATTTTGTTATCTTCTCCAGTTCTTTCTCTTCTATTCTGCTGTCTCCAGGCACTGCCACGTCCACTATCCAGACTTTTTTGTCTTTCTTATCGACAATTGTTAAGTCTGGGGTGTTATGTTGCAGGTGCTTGTCTGTTTGAATTCTGAAGTCCCAGAGCAGTTTAATTTTATCATTTTCTATGACTTTCTCTATTTTATGATCCCACCAGTTTTTGCTTACAGGCAAATGATATTTTTTGCAGATCTTCCAATGCACCATTGTTGCTACTTTGTCATGCCGCTGCTTGTAATCAGTCTGTGCAATCTTCTTGCAATAGCTTACCAAGTGGTCCACTGTTTCTTCAGCTTCTTTGCATAGGCGGCACTTACTGTCTGTTGCTGTCTTCTCAATTTTGACTTTGTATGCATTTGTCCTTAAGGCTTGGTCTTGTGCAGCCAGAATTAGTCCCTCGGTCTCTTTCTTCAATTTTCCTGCTCTTAGCCATTGCCAGGTCCATTATTACTACTACTACTACTACTACTACTACTATTATTATTATTATTATTATAGCTGATTTCATCTTTACAAGATTCAGAAGGCAAATGGCCTATCCACTAACTGGGTTCAGCCTCTCTCTTCTGCCTTCAGATGTGATGCTGGTTTTGTTTTGCGGGTGTGTGTGTTCTCGACTCACAACCATTTGTTCAGTGGCTGCTCAGAGCGACAACGGCGCTCAAGCGTTTTTCTCACTTATGACCACAGCAGCATTCCCGAAGTCGTGGGATTAAAATTTGGACGGTGGGCAACCGACTTGTGTCTGTGACGGCTGCAGGTATCCCAGTGTCGTTGTGACCCCCTTTTTCGAACATCTGACAAGCAACGTCAATGGGGGAAGCCGGTCTCACTCAACAACTGTGTTACTGGTTCCAGCGATTCACTTAACAAACCGGGCGAGAAAGGGCATAAAATGGGGCAAAACTCGCTTAACGGATGTATTGCTTAGCAATGCAAATTTTCGGCTCAGCTGCGGTTGTTGAGTCAAGAATTTACAACAAGGGCCTTCAAACTTGGCAACTTTCAGACCTGTGGACTTCAACTCCCAGAATTCCTCAGCCAGCCAAACCGGGCCGCTTTAAGACTGATGGACTTCAACTCCCAGAATTCCTCAGCCAGCCCTCAAGGCTGGCTGAGGCATTCTGGGAGTTGAAGTCCACCAGTCTTAAAAGCGGCCAAGTTTGAAGACCCCTGATTTACGACCTCTTTGTTTCTGTAGTTGCATTTCCCTGCAGATTCCCCTCTAGTGCCCAGGGTGCTACAGGGGAGTAATACCCAGATAATAATATTAAGACTTTTTCCTAGGACATTAATTCTGTTTTCCTGTCCTGGCTGGCCTTTTGACTCCTGTTTCTTTTGCACCAATGGCTGTCCTTTCCCAGCATCTGCCCACTGTACCTTCAACTAATGCATTTTCTCATCCTTGTCCAAAGAAAGTTATTATATAAAAATCAGCAAATCTACCCACTTCTGGTTTCAACTGCAAAATCTTGGACGCTCTGTAATAAAACTCTATAGGCTATGGCCTTGACCAATATAGAATAAAATAGAATAGAATAGAATAGAAATTCAGAATAGAATAGAATAGAAATACAGAATAGAATACAGTATAATAGAAAATACAGAATAGAATAGAATAGAAAATAAAGAATAGAATAGAACAGAAATACAGACTAGAAATATAGAATAGAAAAGAATAGAAATACAGAACAGAACAGAATAGAAATACAGAATAGAAATACAGAATAGAAGAGTAGAAACACAGAACAGAACAGAATAGAAATACAGAATAGAAATACAGAATAGAAATATAGAATAGAAATACAGAATAGAAAAGAGTAGAAATACAGAACAGAATAGAACAGAATAGAAATACAGAATAGAAATACAGAATAGAAATACAGAATAGAAAAGAGTAGAAATACAGAACAGAATAGAACAGAATAGAAATACAGAATAGAAATACAGAATAGAATAGAAATACAGAATAGAGTATAGAATAGAATATAGAATAGAATAGAATAGAATACAATAGGAAAATAGTATGTGATGAGAATAGACTAGACTAGAATAGAAACACAGAATAGAAATACAGAATAGAATAGAATAGAATAGAATGAAATAGAAACAGAAATAGAATGGAACCGAATAGAATAGAATACAGAACAGAATAGGGAATAGAATTAGAATTAGAATAGAGTAGAATAGACTAAAACAGAATTAGAATACAAATATTTCAAGCTAATGATAAAGAATAAAGATTGGAGATACAAAAAACTAAGATACTGAAACAAGCTCTGACTCTGAATGATCACAAAACAGATGGTTGTAAGTCGAGAACCCCTTGTATAAAATCCTTTTATTTTCTGATCGGTCTCTCTTCCCCAGCCCTGCGTGAGAACACTGGAAGCTTTTAAGAAGAGACTGGACAGCCATTTGTCCGAAACGGTGTAGGGCTTCCTGCCTGAGCAGGGGGTTGGACTAGATGACCTCCAAGGTCCCTTCCAACTGTATTCTATTCTAAGAGACTGGACAGCCATTTGTCTGAAACAGTGTAGGACTTTCTGCCTGAGCAAGGGGTTGGACTAGATGACCTCCAAGGTCCCTTCCTACTCTTATTCTATTCTAAGAGACTGGACAGCCGTTTGTCTGAAACGGTGTAGGGCTTCCTGCCTGAGCAGGGGGTTGGACTAGATGATCTCCAAGGTCCCTTCCTACTCTTATTCTATTCTAAGAGACTGGACAGCCGTTTGTCCGAATCGGTACAGGGTTTCCTGCCTGAGCAGGAGGTTGGACTAGATGACCCCCCGAGGTCCCTTCCCACTTTTATCACTACTATTACTAGAAACGGCCGCTTTTGTTGGTGCTGACCCCAGCTGAGCTGCCAGTTGTCAAGCTTGGCCTGTCTTGAATAACTTGGGAGAAAACAGACGTGTGAAAAAAATCAGCGACGACGTACACTTTGGGCTCCCCTGCAATGCGATTGGGCATGCTAATAAAACCAAACGCAAGAATTTGCTGAAGCGGTGGGTGGCTCTTCCTGAAGGCAGAGGACAAACTAAAATTAAAAAAAATAAAATAAAAAAGGTAGGAGGAAGGTGTCAGCGGTGCAAAGAGGAGGGAAGTCGTACTTTGAGCGAGGGGAGGAAACTCTGAAAATAATTTCCCAACTACTCTTTAACCTGCTCTGGAAGCCAGCTTGGGGGAAATATGGGGAAGGCGCTCAATGGATTCGTCTGGTTGAATCCGGCGGGGCTGGCCTTCGGCACGAAGTTTTGGAGCGCATCGGGACGGAACAGAGCACAAGGGCCAAGAAAACACCCTGCGGGGGAGGAAATTCTAGGAATAAGGTCCGCCCGGCATCAAAAGCAGAACAAAGGCTGCCCCCCTTGATTCCCACCTTGGCTGAATTGTAAACGCCTGCATTTCATTCCATTCCATTCCGCTCCGATCTACTCTGCTTTGTTCTTTTATCATACTCAATAGCTTACCCCAAATGCTGAGTTCTAGTCCTGTCTCAGGCACTGACACCAGCTGGGTGACTTTGGGCCAATCACCAGGAGACGGTGAGTTCTAGTCCCACCTTAGGCATGAAAGCCAACTGGGTGACTTTGGGCCAATCACCAGGAGACGATGAGTTCTAGTCCCGTCTTAGGCATGAAAGCCGGCTGACTTTGGACCAATCACCAGGAGACGGTGAGTTCTAGTTCCGCCTTAAACATGAAAGTCGGCTGAATGACTTTGGACCAATCACCGGGAGACGGTGAGTTCTAGTCCCACCTTAGGCATGAAAGCCAACTGCGTGACTTTGGGCCAATCACCAGGAGACGGCGAGTTATAGTCCCACCTTAGGCATGAAAGCCAACTGGGTGACTTTGGGACTATCACCTGGAGACACTAAATTCTAGTCCTGCTTTAGCCATGAAAAGTAGCTGGGTGACTTTGGGCCAATCACCAGGAGACGGTGAGTTCTAGTCCTGCTTTAGCCATGAAAGCTATCTGGGTGACTTTGGGTCAATCACCCAGGAGATGGCTGCCCCCTTCTACTTCCAGCCTGGCTGAATTGCAAACGCTTGCATTTTATTTTATCACTGTATTGTATTGTACGCATAGTCCTTCAGTTATGACCACCATGGAGCCCAAAATTTCTGTTGCTTCAGCGAAACATTTGCTAAGTGAGCTCTGCCCCATTTTCCAACCTTTCTCGCCACAAGTGTTAAGCGAATCTGGCTTCCCCATCGACTTTGCTTGTCACAAAGTCCCAAAAGGGGATCACGTGACCCAGGGACACTGCGACCGTCATAAATATGAGTCAGTTGCCAAGCGTGTGAATTTTGATCCTGTGACCACAGGGACGATGCAACGGTCGTTACGTATGAAAAACAGCCCTAAGTCCCTTTTTTTTTCAGTGACGTCGGAACTCTGAACAATCATTAAAGAAATTGTTGTAAGTCGGGGACTCTCTGAATATGATATGTAGCTAACGTATATAAATAACAAAACCCCTTTAGTTTTTTTTTTTTAAATTATATGAACTGTAGGCCACGAGTTGGACATGCCTCTTTTAAGGCTTATCTGAATATATTAGAAATATATTTTTCCGATGTTTCAAAAATATTATTAAAGGCCATTCGAATGATGAATTTGAAGGCCACAGCGTAAAGAAAAAAAAAAAAGATTAGGTTAGGATGAGGATTATATCCTAGTTCAGAGGTAGGCAACTTTGGCTCTTTTATGACTCGGGGACTTCAACTCCCAGAATTCCTCAGCCAGAATGGAGGAACTATGGCCCCTTCATGACTCATGGACTTCAACTCCCAGAATTCCTTAGCCAGCGTGGGGGAACTATGGCCCCTTCATGACTCGCAGACTTCAACTCCCAGAATTCCTCAGCCAGCATGGGGGAACTATGGCCCCTTCATGACTCGCGGACTTCAACTCCCAGAATTCCTGAGCCAGCATGGGGGAACTATGATCCCTTCATGACTCGTGGACTTCAACTCCCAGAATTCCTGAGCCAGCATGGAGGAACTATGGTCCCTTCATGACTCGTGGACTTCAACTCCCAGAATTCCTGAGCCAGCATGGGGGAACAATGGCCCCTTCATGACTCGTGGACTTCAACTCCCAGAATTCCTCAGCCAGCGTGGGGGAACTATGGCCCTTTCATGACTCGCGGACTTCAACTCCCAGAATTCCTCAGCCAGCGTGGGGGAACTATGGCCCCTTCATGACTCGCGGACTTCAACTCCCAGAATTCCTCAGCCGGCATGGCTCAGCTTGGAAACCTCTCTTTCCCCTCAGCATGGCTGGCTCAGGAATTCTGGGAGCTGAAGTCCGCAAGTCATAAAAGAGCCAAGGTTGCCTACCTCTGTCCTAGTTGGAGGATTGCAGAGGGCACCAACAGCTATCCATCCAGAAGTAGGGGGTTGGACTAGATGACCTCCAAGGTCCCTTCCAGCTTTTTTATTATTATTATTATTACTACTACTACTATTATTATTATATTATTATTCCACTTGACCTTAATAATAATAATAGTAGTAAAGTTGGAAGGGATCTTGGAGGTCATCTAGTCCAACCCCCTGCTCGGGCAGGAAACCCTACACCATTTCGGACAAATGGCTGTCCAGTCTCTTCTTAAAAACTTCCAGTGTTGGAGCATTTACTGCTTCTGGAGGCAGGTTGTTCCACTGATTAATTGTTCTCACTGTCAGAAGTTTCTCCTTAGTTCTAGGTTGCTTCTCTCCTTGATTAGTTTCCACCCGTTGCTTCTTGTCCTGCCTTCAGGTGCTTTGGAGAATAGCTTAATTCCCTCTTCTTTATGGCAGCCCCTGAGATATCGCCTTTAGCATACGATACTTAAACGAATGGAGTCAAGGATCGTCCTTGCTTAAAGGTTCCAGCTGAGGCAGGACTGACAACCGGCTTACCTTTTAAGCTTAGGTGCATGGCTCTTTCCACGAGAACGCTCGCGGCGAACGTGTTCTCCAGATCACTCACAGGTGGCTTTTCCTGTGGGAGCTCGTCGACGGGAGGATTCGCCTCCGTGCGGACTTCCACTTGCTGTTCTGCTGCCTTCTTTTCTTCAACGCTGTTGCTGTTGCTGCTATCCCGGTCATCTTCGGAGTTCCCAGGCCCGCCCGATGAACCAGCAGGTGTCACCGCAATGTGAACGCGTAGCCCGGCTCCGCCCAGGTTGGCAGCGTTTCGTCGGAACAAGGGAAAGACACCTGCAGACAAGGGGAGGAAGGGGAGGCTCGTTCAAGATTGCAGTTCTCGCCCCGCTGAGAAGAAGCTGCTCGGTTTTCGAACGAGGAACCAACCCACAGGTTGACTTTGCCGTTGGTTCACGGGGCCATAAGATTTACCTTAAATTGAACCAACTTTTACAGGTAGTCCTTGACTTATGACCACAGTGGAGCCCAACCTTTCCACTGGTAAGCGAGGCAGTCGTTAAGGGAATTTTACGACCTTTCTTGCCATCGTTCAAAGTTTCAACAGGACTGAACAAAAAGGGACTTAGGACTGTTTCTCACACTTACGACCGTCGCAGCTTCCCAATGGTCACGCGATCGGAATTCGGACGCTTGGCAACCGGCTCGCATTTATGAAGGTTGCAGTATCCTGGGGTCACGTGATCCCCTTTTGTGACCTTTTGACAATCAGAGCTAAGGGGGAAGCCATATTCGCTTAACAAACCGCGTTACCAACTTAACAGCTGCAGTGATTCGCTTAACAACGGTGACAAGAAAGGTGGTAAAACGGGGCAGGGCTCTCAGCTGTCTTGCTTTGCAGCAGAAATTTTGGTCGCAAGTTGAGGATTACCTGTGCTTTTCAGAACAGGGCTTTTCAACTGTGGTCCATTGGCACCTGGCAGGGGGTACGCGACCATCCCAGAAAAGCAGGGGAGGAGAATGAGCTGAACCGGGGGCAGCACCGCACAAGCCTGAGTGAGAGACGGCTGGAGCTGCAGGGCTGTCGGGGCTCAGCGGGAGCGCCAGGATCAATGCCGCTTTCCAGCTGATCGGCGCTTCTTCGGGGCTGTCAGGGCTCAGCGGAAGCACCAGGATCAGCGCCAGGATCCAGCTGGAGCTCGGCGCTGATCCTGGTGCTTCTGCTGAGCCCAGAAGAAGCGCCGATCAGCTGGAATGTTGCAGCATCTCCAGGGTCTCGTGATTTACATTCAGATGCTTGGCCACTGATTCATATTTATGACGGTCACCGTGTCCCAGGGTCATGTGAAGTGACCAAAACCTGCTGCAACCACCCAGCAGACGGGGGGAATAAAAACCAAACATCCCCCACCCCACCCCTGCTGCCAATCCTCAACAGAAATGCTCACAACAATGAAAACCTCGGACAGGAGGAAGAGCATCGCCAGGTGGGCAGGCAGGTGTCTTGCTCGGCTGTGGCTTGGGGGGCACTTTTTTCAGTGCCATTGTAATTTCGAACAGTCACTAAGCGAACTGTTGTAAGTCCAGGACTACCTGTACTTTATCACTTTTTTTTTCCTTTTTTTTTTGTGGTCATCAAGTTTTTGACCCCTTGCTAGGCGACGGGTGGTCCTCGGATGTTGCCATGTCCTAAAAGTGGTACAATGGGTGAAAAGGTTGAAAAGCCCTGTTCCAGAACCAGGCTAGTGACTACTTTTAAAACTGCTCTAAACATACCACTGACTGTTCTCTTCTTTCGTGGCTTGTCTGCCAGAGATGCCAGGTCCACGTACGCTGATCCGATCAAGCGGTCGGTATCCCGCGGTCTTTCCGTATCACCGTCTTTGCCGTAAGCTCGCCACACCTGGAGTTCCAGTTTTTCTTCCCTGAAATACCAGAATAACGCCGGACTTGACCGGAGCTCCATATGGTTGGGATTCTTAAATGTCACGGTCACGTGTTTTTCGCCTTCTGTTGTTTTCGGCCTCCTAAGTGACGTCCAGGCGGCTTCTTGATCGTACAGTTTATAGCGAAGGTAGCAATAGACACTTTTATTTAAGTGGGTCTGTCCTGCGAGTAGCATGGTCTGTAGTGGTAGCCACAGCCGCGGAGTAGAAACAGTCACATGGACCGGTGTTGAAGGGGAGTGGCCGTCGCTCTCGCTGTCCTCCGGCAGATCGTCAGAGTAGGGTTCCTTCCAATTCCAGCCTAGAAGATTCGCAGTCTCCAGAACACGCTCTCGGTCTCCGGGGTGAACAAACGCAACGGAAAGGTCCAAGCCTCCGACGACGCTTTGCATGACGCTTGCACACCGCGAGGCGGAGAGGTCCTCTGGGAGAATGACAGGGTACCAACCTCTGAGACCTGTAAAGGAAACACAAAGAGAAGGAGTTCCAGATGAAAAAAAGAAAGAAAGAAAGAAAGAAAGAAAGAACAAAAGAAAGAAAGAAAGAAAGAGGAAGGAAAAGAAAGAGAAAGGAAAAAAGGAAGAAAGAAGAAAGGAAAAGAGAAAGAAAAAAAGAAAGAAAGAAGGAGGGAGGAATCAAAGGTAGGAAAAGAAAGGAAGAAAGAAGAAAGTAAAAGAGAGAAAGAAAGAAAGGAAACAAACAAAGGAAGGAAAAGAACGAGAAAGGAAGAAAAAGAGAAAGAAAAAGAAAGAAAGGAAAGAGAGAGAGAGAAAAGAAAGAGAGAAAGGAAAAAAGGAAAGAAAGAAAGGAAGGAAGAAAAAGAGAAAGAAAAAGAAAGAAAGGAAAGAGAGAAAAGAAAGAGAGAAAGGAAAGAGAGAAAAGAAAGAGAGAAAGGAAAAAAGGAAAGAAAGAAAGAAAGAGAAAGGAAGGAAGGAAAGAAAGAGAGAGGGAGAAAGGAAACAAAGGAAGGAAAAGAAAGAAAGGGTGGAAGAAAGGAATGAAAGAAAGAGGGAGGGAGGAAGTAAACAAAGGAAAGAAAAGAAAGAGAAAGGAAGGAACAAAGGAAAGAGAAAGAAAGAGAAAGAAAAAAGAAAGAAAGAAAGAAAGAAAGAAAGAAAGAAAGAAAGAAAGAAAGAAGGAGGGAAGGAGGCAGGGAGGAAGGAAGGAAGGAAGGAAGGAAGGAAGGAAGGAAGGAAGGAAGGAAGGAAGGAAGGAAGGAAGGAAGGAAGGAAGATCTATCTTTCATGCTACATCACTTATTTACTTACTGGTTCCAATTTGTTATCGTCCAACTCTGATGAACTTTGAGTGGGGTAATAAACCACAAAACAATCTATTTTTTTAAAAAAAATGCAAAACACAAAACCACCCAGGCAGCGTGGACTAATTCTTAAAAGCAACACAAATTAAACAAAACAACGCGGGTACCAACGGAAGAGAATTATCTGTAGCTGAGCGTTGAGGTAGGTGCTCTCTGCTGCTCCGCGAGCTCCACGGTTTTCTTCCAGAGGTTTCATGACTCAAGTAGGCAATTATTTGTAAAAAATAATAAAGACTTGATGCAAATTAAACACATAATAACGACGCAGGGCGCATCAGGTGCGCCGGGGGAATCTATGCCAAGACCCTCCCGGCCTCAGATGCCCCCTTGCACCGAGTTGCAACACCAGGCTTGTGATAAGCGTAGAGGTGACGGGTGTAACGTGGCGTCTTTACCTGATCTCCGAATTAACAGGTCTCTGGCAGGAACGCGTACGGTTCCCAGCAGGCAATCTTTCAAAGTCTGGGTTTCCCTTGGAGCTGCAGGAGTAAGTAACAACGATGACGTAAATTTCCCATCAGAATAATTGGGATTCACCTCCCCCCTGGAAGGCATCAATCTAGAGCAGTGGTTCTCAACCTTTTTAATGCAGCGACCCCCAACCGGTCGTAAGTCGAGAACTACTCAACTGGTGCAGCACTGTTTGCAGACTGGGACTTTGGGCGGGCTCAGCAGGGCAGAGACAGCCTGGACAATTCCTATTGGCTTTGGAAAGCCAATAGAATTAGACTCTGTTCAAGAGAGTCTATTCTATTGGCTTTCAAAAGCCAATAGAATAAAAGGGAGCTAAGGAAAAGGTGAAAAAAATGGCGGACTGCGTTGTTTGGCGACCCCCATGAAATGGTCGTTCGACCCCAAATGGGGTCCTGACCCACAGGTTGAGAACCACTGATCTAGAGCACAGCTCTCCAAACATAGCTACTATCTGGACTTCAACTCCCAGAATCCCACAGCCACCTGACTGGGCGCACGTGCAACCGGGGTCTGAATTTATACCTGTCCTCGTGCATCTTGCGGTCACAGGACCAAAAGGGAAGATGGCTTCATTGAAAACCGTCATTTACGTCCAGTTTGGGGCAAAAACGCTCCCGAGCAAACACCGAGTCCGCTGAACGACCGCACCCTTTGCTTAATGACCGCTGTAAAATCAACTCGGTCACACGATGGCTCGTTTTACGACTGTTGCCATTGCTCTGCCATAATTGGCAGCCTCCGTTATGGTTGTAACTTGAGGACTATATATATATATATATATATATATATATATATATATATATATATATAAGCAGAAGCACGAAGCCGAAGACACCAGCCTAAAGATGACGAGTGGGACCTCGTCAAAACATCGCCAAGATACTCTCAATCTTACACGGGAAAAGACCCGAATACGCCAAGACCTGCATACCTGTACCCATGAAAATCTACAAACACACACACACACGTTTTCTGAGGTTTTTGCGGGTGTTTTATGTAGGTCTTTGGTTATTCGGGTTTTCTCTCGTGTAAAATTGGAAGTGTCTTGGTGACATTTCGACGAAGTCCCATTCGTCATCTTCAGGCTGGTGTTTTCGGCTTTGTGCTTCTAGGAGCAACATTGCTCCTAGAAGCACAAAGCCGAAAACACCAGCCTGAAGATGACGAATGGGACTTCGTCGAAACGTCGCCAAGACACTTCCAATTTTACGCGGGAGAAAACCCGAACAACCAAAGACCTATATATATATATATATATATATATATATATATATATATATATATATATATATATATATATATATGTTTTCTGAGGGGAGCCCTCGACTTACTATCGTTCGTTTAGTGATACTTCGAAGTTACAATAGTGCCGAAAAAAGGGACTGACCACCATTTTCACCCCTATGACCGTCACAGCATCCATGTCGCGGTCATGTGATCAAAATCTGGACACTGGGCAACAGACTCGTACTTATGACAGTTGCAGCATCCCGGGGTCACATCTTTGGCGACCTTCCGACATGCGAAGTCAATGGAGGACGCCGGATTCACTTAACGACCGTTTCACTAACTTAACAACGCAGGCATTCACTTAATATATGTGGCAGAAAAGGTCGTAAAATGGGACAAAACTCAACTTAACAAACGTCTCGCTTAGCAACATAAATTCTGGGCTAAATTGTGGTCGAAAGTCGAGGGCTACCTGTATTCCTTGACATGACAGCTAGGGGGAACTGAAACCATTAAGAGCCCTTGGCAGTGCCACATGGGCCAGGTAGTGCCAACCAAGCAGAATCCTCTCTGCAAATGTCTCCTCTCGTATCTCAGTCAAGGGAAGGGAAGTTGCACTAAAGGACAGGCGGTCCTCGACTTACGACTGCAATTGGGTCCAAGCTTTCTGTTGCTAAGTGAGTTTTGCCCTATTTTATGACTTTTCTTGCCACTGTTGTTAAGTAAATCACCACTGAATCACGTGGCTGTTCAGCGAATCCGACTTCCCCCGTTGACTGTGCTTGTCAGAAGCTCGCAAAAGGGGATCACCTGACACCCCAGGGACACAGCGACTGTCGTAAAAACGAGTCGGTTGCCAAATATCTGAATTTTGATCACGTGACCCCTGGGGAGGATGAAAGGGTCATTAAGTGTGAAAAACAGGTCACGAGCCATTTCTTTCCACTGCCGCTGTGAATGGTCACTAAATGAATTGTTGTAAATTGAGGACGGCCTATATACTGCAAGGTTCACCATCGATGCATCCAGGCCACCCAGCTTTGGGGCTAAGTTGTGCAGTTCGACAACCGGACCCACTCCGTTTGTCGCACCTGGGTTCAGGGGCTGGTGATAGAGCTGGAACACCATCTCGGACCGCTGCAGGAGCTCCCCAAGGCAACAGGCTTCTCCGCTGCTCCTCTGGACCACGAGACGGCAGGGGAGCTCCACGTGGTGCCCGAACGTGGGACAGAACGAGCGAGCCACGGTTCTCGTCCTGCGTCGCTCGGCCTCCGGAAGGAAGGGGAGGTGTATCGACACGTAGGTGTTGAGCCCAATTTCCGCACTGTATTGGAACGAAGGGTACTTTTCGGCCACCGCCCTAAGCGACGAGAAAAAAACATTGTATTCTTAATGTATTTATTTGTACAGGTCGTCCCCGACTTACATCCGCTCATTTAGTGACCATTCCAAGTGACAACGCTCATAGACTTATGAACCTTTTTCGCACTTACGATGTTGTGACATCACCACGGTCAGTTCGAAGTTACAACAGCGCCGATAAACGTGACTTATGACCATTTCCACGCCTACGACCGTCGCAGCATCCCTGCCACAGAAATTTTGGGCGCCATCGTGGTCGCATGTCGTTAAGTGAATCATTGCGGTTGTTAAGTTGGTAACTGGTCGCTAAGAGAATCCAGCTTCCCCGTTGACTTTGCTTGTCAGAAGGTCACAAAAGGGGGAACGCTCGTGTGACCCCGGGACGCTGCGACCGTCATAAATGCGGGTCAGTCGCCAAGCGTCTGAATTTTGATCACTTGACCACGGGGAGGCTGCAACGGGTTGTAAGGTTGAAAAACGATAAGGAGCCACTTTTTCCAGTGCTCTTGTACCTTCGAACCGTCACTAAGTGAACCGTTGTAAGTCGAGGAGCCTCTGTATTGAGCTTCCAACTCCTCCTTACCTGGCTGCGGCTTGCAATCCGGCCGCTGCATGGATTTGGACAGAGAGGGAAACGGTCTGAGCCTCTAGCAGGCTTTCGTTTACTTTCAAAGCCTGTCGGTACTTTACGCTCATTTGCAGCAAACCTGGAAAAAAAGGACAGGGTGTTGTCATAAAAGGGCTACGTTTGAAGACCCCCCTGCCTTAACAGATCAAACTTCAACTCCCAGAATTCCTGAGCCAGCATGGGGGAACTATGGCCCCTTCATGACTTGTGGACTTCAACTCCCAGAATTCCTCAGCCAGCATGAGGGAACTATGGCCCCTTCATGACTCGTGGACTTCAACTCCCAGAATTCCTCAGCCAGCATGGCTCAGCTTGGAAACCTCTCCCTTTCCCCTCAGCATGGCCGGCTCAGGAATTCTGGGAGTTGAAATCCACTCTTCTGAAAGTTGCCAAGGTTGAGACACCCTGATCTAGAGAGAGAAAGATGACTAGAGCAGTAGTTCTCTACCTCAGCAACTTTAAGATGGCTGGACTTCAACTCCCAGAATTCGTGAGCCAGCCATGCTGAGGGGAAAGGGAGAGGTTTCCATGCTGAGCCATGCTGGCTGAGGAATTCTGGGAGTTGAAGTCCACAAGTCATGAAGGGGCCATAGTTCCCCCATGCTGGCTCAGGAATTCTGGGAGTTGAAGTCCGCAAGTCATGAAGGGGCCATAGTTCCCCCATGCTGGCTGAGGAATTCTGGGAATTGAAGTTCCCGAGTCATGAAGGGGCCATAGTTCCCCCATGCTGGCTGAGGAATTCTGGGAGTTGAAGTCCGCGAGTCATGAAGGTGATAATAGTATATATAGTATGTTTTAGGTGTGTGTCATGTATGTGTTTCACTTTAAGAGCGGGCAACTAAATTTCATTGTTGATGTGTGCCGTTGTGCCCACAGTAAAAAAAATGACAATAAAGGTTATCTTATCTTATCTTATCTTATCCTATCCTATCCTATCTTATCTTATCTTATCTTATCTTATCATCTTATCTTATCTTGCCACGATCAACCCCCACCTTAGCTCTGGAGCCTTCTCCTACCTGAGGACCGAGGATGAACTTCTCCAGAGCTGCCGATTCTCGGCATCACCGGCAGGCGGAAGGTCTGGACCCCCACTTCCTGACGGTGCTGCATGGTGACCATGGCACAAAGGCGCGAGAGGGGCAAGCTCGCCCGGGCCACCATCTGATCGCGGACGTTGGGGTAGTAGTACCTGCGGAAGGGAGGAAAGCGAACGGTTGCAAGCTACAATGCAGGTAGAGAAACGAGAGGAAGCAAAACGGGATAGGAAGCGAAGTGGCTCGGTCAAGGGCAAAACGATAGAGCAGTTGGCCAGAGAGAATATTTGTGGCTCAAATTTGAATTGTGTGTCTGTGGAGGGGGTCCTTGGTGCTCTCTGAGCTGGGTGTCTTTCTTGCAGACGTTTCAAGACCTAACATCAGCAGTGCTAGAAGGCAGTTGGGTTTGTGGAGAGGAGGGGGAGGAGGAGAAAGGACTGTGGGGTCCTTGGTGCTCTCTGAGCTGGGTGGTTTTCTTGCAGACCAACTAGATAACAACATCAGAGCTAGAAGGGGGGGTGGAGAGGAGGAGGAGGAGGAGGAGGAGGAAGAGGAGGAGGAAGAGGAGGAGGAGGAGGAGGAAGAGGAGGAGGAAGAGGAGGAGGAAGGACTGTGGGGTCCTTGGTGCTCTCTGAGCTGGGTAGTTTTCTTGCAGACCAACTAGATAACAACATCAGAGCTAGAAGGGGGGGTGGAGGGGGGTGGAGAGGAGGAGGAGGAGGAGGAGGAGGAGGAGGAGGAGGAGGAGGAGATGGAGGAAGGACTGTGAGGTCTCAGGTGCTGAGCTTGGTGGTTTTCTTGCAGACGTTTCATGACCCAACTAGGTAACAACATCAGAGCTAGAAGGGACGGGGGTGGGTGGAAACGAGGAGGAGGAGGAGGAGGAGGAGGAGGAAGAGGAGGAGGAAGAGGAGGAGGAAGGACTGTGTGGGGGGTCCTTGGTGCTCTCTGAGCTTGGTGGTTTTCTTGCAGACGTTTCATGACCCAACTAGGGAACATCATCAGTGCTAGAAGAGAGTGGGGTTTGTGGAGTGGAGTTAGGAGGAGGAAGGGAGGAAGAAGAGGAGGAGGAGGACTGTGTAGTCTTTGTCTGAGCCTAGTGGGTTTCTTGCAGATGTTTCACAACCCAATTAGGGAACATCGCCAGTGCTAGGAGGGCACTAGCCAACTCCACCCTCACTCACACTGATGCTAGCTAGTTGGGTCATGAAACGTCTGTAAGAAAACAACCCAGCTCAGAGAGCGCCAAGGATCCCACAATCCTCCTCCTCCTCTTCCCGGCACTGATGACGTTCCCTAGTTGGGTCATGAAACGTCTGCAAGAAAATCGCCAAGCTCAGAGAGCACCAAGGATCCCACAGTCTGTCCCTTCCTTCCTTCCTTCCTTCCTTCCTTCCTTCCTTCCTTCCTTCCTTCCTTCCTTCCTTCCTTCCTTCCTTCCTTCCTTTCTTCCTTCCTTCCTTCCTCTTCCTCCTCCTCCCTTCTAGCACTGATGATGCTACCTACCTGGGTCGTGAAACGTCTGCAAGAAAACCACCCAACTCAGAGGGCACCCAGGACCCCCGCAGATCTCCTCCTCCCCTCCCCCCTTTGAGGACTGGCTAAAAGACCTGGGTAGGTTTAGCTTTCAGAAAAGACAATTGAGGGGAGATAGGACAGGAATTGGGAGATCGGTCACGTCTGAGGATCCATTTCCAGGCTCCGGTCCTCCTCAGCCCCACGTGATGCAAACGGGGAGAGAGAGAGACACAAGCGGTGAGTGGGCTGCAAGACAGGTCTAAGCTACGTACCTGCACCAGATTTCAAAATGAATCCCTCCACCTTCTCCCGCTAGGCTCTGGGCAGAGAAAGCCCCGAGTAGCAACCGCTGAACTGGGACATCCGCTGGTACCAGCAGAGTGTGACGATGTTCCTCGTGGAAGGCGGGATCGGGGACGCACAATGTGGTGGAGGTGCGGAAAGCCTTTAACTCGAGGCCTGAAGGAGAAAATAAAACTCTAGTTTCAGTCAAGTAGCACAGGTGCCCCCAGCCTTTTGGGCCCCAGGGACCAGTTCCATGGACAGAGGTTTTCCCGCGGACCGCAGGGGGCGTGCTTTTGCACGCCGCCTGCATCCCACGGATGGGGGTTCGCTTGTTTGCGCGGATCAATTGCTAGCAGGCTGCAGACCGGTGTTGGTCCAGGGGGACCCCTGAAGAGAGAAAGACAGAGAGAAGTGCAAGGGAATAAGGCCACAGAACAGATCCAGTTTTGGTCACCACGATGTAAAAAAGATGTTGAGACTCTGGAAAGAGTGCAGAGAAGAGCAACAAAGATGATCAGGGGACTGGAGGCTAAAATATATGAGGAACGGTTGCTGGAATTGGGGATGTCTAGTTTAATGAAGAGAAGGACGAAGGAGGACAGGATAGCAGCCTTCCAGTATCTCAGGGGCTACCCCAAAGGAGAGGGAGTCAAGCTATTCTCCAAAGCCCCTGAAGGCAGGACAAGAAGCAACGGATGGAAACTCATCAAGGAGAGAAGCAACCTGGAACTAAGGAGAAACTTCCTGACAATTAGAACAATTAACCAGTGGAACAACCTGCCTCCAGAAGCGGTGAATGCTCCAACACTGGAAGTTTTTAAGAAGAGACTGGACAGCCATCTGTCCGAAATGGTACAGAGTTTCCTGCCTGAGCTGGGGGTTGGACTAGAGGACCTCCAAGGTTCCTTACAGCTTTATTATTATTATTATTATGGAGCAGTGGTTCTCAACCTGTGGGTCGGGACCCCATTTGGGGTCGAACGACCATTTCACGGGGGTCGCCAAACAAGGCTGTCCGCCATTTTCCCCCCCTTTTCTTTGGCCACGCCCCTGGCACCCGGTGATGTATAAGTGGTTGGGGGGGTCACCACAACATGGGGAACTGTATTATGGGGTCGCGGCATTAGAAAGGTTGAGAACCACTAATCTGGAGAGTTATATTTAATTTGTAGTAAACATAGACATGTCCTCAAGGTCAGTCGTGCTATCTACGCGCAGCTTGTGCTTTGAATGAGGCGCACTAGAGGTTTTCCAAAATAGACTGGATAACCATTTGACTGGGACGGCCTGAGACTCCTGCCTTGAGTAGGAAGGCTGGACTAGAAGACCTCTAAGGGCCCCTCCAGCAGGATACAGAATGCCGTACTGGTATACTAGGTGTGTATTCTGCCATGTCTCCTAGAGTTTCCAGATGCTGTCCCTGGATTCTGCCCACTCCACCTCTTTTTACTCTCAACACTCTTGTGGAAAGCAAGGACGCTATCCTGGATCAGCCCACAATCCCTATCACAGTGGGGTCCTGGGTGCTCTTGGAACTGGGTTGTTTTCTTGAACATGTTGTATGACCCAAGTAGCTAACGTCATCGGTGGTAGAAGGGAGGGAGATTTGTGGAGAGGAGGAGGAGGAGGAGGATTGTGGGGTCCTTGGTGCTTTCTGAGCTGGGTGGTTTTCTTGCAGACGTTTCATGACCCAACTAGAGAACATCATCAGTACTAGAAGGGAGGAGGAGGAGGAGGAGGAGGAGGAGGAAGAGAGAGGAAGGAAGGAAGGAAGGAAGGAAGGAAGGAAGGAAGGAAGGAAGGAAGGAAGGAAGGAAGGAAGGAAGGAAGGAAGGAAGGAAGGACTGGTGGGGTCCTGGGTGCTCTCTGAGCTTGGCTGTTTTCTTGCAGATGTTTCCTGACCTAACTAGGAAACATCATCAGTGCTAGAAGGGAGGAGGAGAAGGAGGAGGAGGAGGAGGAGGAGGAGGAGGAGGAGGAGGAGGAGGAGGAGGAGGAGGAGGAGGAGGAGGAGGAAGAAGAAGAAGAAGAAGAAAAGGACTGTGGGATCCTTGGTGCTTTCTGAGCTTGGCAGTTTTCTTGTAGACATTTCATGACCCAACTAGGGATCATCATCAGTGCTAGAAAGGAGGAGGAGGAGGAGGAGGAGGAGGACGATGACGACTGTGGGGTCCTTGGTGCTTTTTGAGCTTGGCAGTTTGCATACAGACGTTTCGTGACCCAACTAAGGAACACCATCAGTGTTAGCAGGGAGTAGAGTTTGCTTTCCGTTTCCATACAGCTACCAGGGTTGCTGGGAGGATCCTCGGCGCTTCTTTGGTTAGGCCAGCGGTTCTCCACCTGTGGGTCGGCACCCCATTTGGGGTCGAACGACCATTTCACGGGGGTCTCCAAACAACGCCGTCCGCCATTTTTTCCCCCTTTTCCTTAGCTCTGCTACTCCCTTTTATTCTATTGGCTTTTGAAAGCCAATAGAATAGATTCTCTTGAATAGAGTCTAATTCTATTGGCTTTCCAAAGCCAATAGGAATTGTCCAGGCTGTCTCTGCCCTGCTGAGCCCGCCAAAAGTCCCATTCTGCAAACGGTGCTGCACCGGTTGAGTAGTCCTCGACTTACGACCGGTTGGGGGTCACGGCATTAAAAAGGTTGAGAACCACTGGGCTAGGCTGTTGTTGCCATTACTGACAAGGAGTAAAGGGAACCGCAGGAGCCCGTCTGACAGGGGCTTTTTGTAAGAAACTCACCCTTCCCGCTTAGCTCTGCTTCCCGGAGCGTGTCGCGTCCTGAATCCTGAGCAGGAAAGTGATACTGGACGTAACAGTCAGCCTCTCCCCAGACAGTGGACTGGAGGGGCGTCAGGCCTTGGACCCCCTCAATGTGGACCTCAAAGGTGTGTTCCACCAGGCCTTCCTTTCCCCCGCTGGGCAGCTGAACAAGACAAAAAAAGAAGGGAGGGAAGGACAGAAGATGTGGGAAATCTTACGGGCATGAATTAGACTTCGTCTCAAAGAAACGACCTCGCATACCCGACGTAAAACGAGCAAGCCGCTTGCATGCCCCCCCCCCAGAAATTCTACCAGCCTTTTATTTCTCCCATTTGAGGCCACATCCTTAAAGATTGGGTCTCTGGGAAAAAGCTTAGAGGCAGTCCTTGACTTACGACCGCATGGGAGCCCGAATTTCCCGCTGCTGACCAAGACGGTCGTTAAGTGAGCTTTGCCCCGTTTTACGACCTTCCTTGCCAACAGCTGTTAAGGGAAGCGATGCAGTTGTGAAGTTAGCGACGGGGTTGTTAACGGGCGCTGGTTTCCCCGTTCGCTTTGCTTGTCAGACGGTGCAAAAGGGGATCAGGTGAAGTTGAGACGCTGCAACCGTCGTAAGTATGAGTTAGTTGCCAAAAGTCTGAATGTTTACCACATGACCGTGATCATGATGCACTGGCCGTTAGGTGTGGAAAACAATCATGTCCCTTTTATCAGCGGCGTTGTAACTTTGAACAGTCACTAAACTAGTACATAAAATTGTTGAGAGGGCAAGCTGCTAATATATAAACAGACAGTAAACCCCCCTCCCTTCTATCACTGATGATGTCCCCTAGTTGGGTCATGAAACGTCTGCAAGGAAACCACCCAGCTCAGAGAGTGCCAAGCACCCCACAGTCTTTCCTTCCTTCCTTCCTTCCTTCCTTCCTTCCTTCCTTCCTTCCTTCCTTCCTTCCTTCCTTCCTTCCTTCCTTCCTCCTCCTCCTCCTCCCTTCTAGCCCTGATGATGTTACCTAGCTGGGTCATGAAACGTCTGCAAGGAAACCATCCAGCTCAGAGAGCACCAAGGACCCCACAGTCCTTCCTTCCTTCCTTCCTTCCTTCCTTCCTTCCTTCCTTCCTTCCTTCCTTCCTTCCTTCCTTCCCTCCTCCTCCTCCTCCTCCTCCTCCTCCTCCCTTCCAGCACTGATGATGTTACCTAGCTGGGTCATGAAAGGTCTGCAAGGAAACCACCCAGCTCAGAGAGCACCAAGGACCCCACAGTCTGTCTTTCCTTCCTTCCTTCCTTCCTTCCTTCCTTCCTTCCTTCCTTCCTTCCTTCCTTCCTTCCTCCCTCCCTCCCTCTCTCCCTTCCTCTTCCTTCTCCTCCCTTCTAGCATTGATGATGTCACCTAGTTGGGTCATGAAACGTCTGCAAGGAAACCACCCAGTTCAGAGAGTGCCAAGCACCCCACAGTCCTTCCTTCCTTCCTTCCTTCCTTCCTTCCTTCCTTCCTTCCTTCCTTCCTTCCTTCCTTCCTTCCTTCCTTCCTTCCTTCCTTCCTCCTCCTCCTCCTCCTCCTCTCTCTCCCTTCCAGCACTGATGATGTTACCTAGCTGGGTCATGAAAGGTCTGCAAGGAAACCACCCAGCTCAGAGAGCACCAAGGACCCCACAGTCTGTCTGCTTCCTTCCTTCCTTCCTTCCTTCCTTCCTTCCTTCCTTCCTTCCTTCCTTCCTTCCTTCCTTCCTTCCTTCCTTCCTTCCTCCCTCCTTCCCTCCCTCCCTCCCTCCCTCTTCCTTCTCCTAGCATTGATGATGTCACCTAGTTGGGTCATCAAATATCTGCAAGGAAACCACCCAGCTCAGAGAGCATCAAGGACCCCATAATCTTCCTCCTCCAACTCCACCCCCTTCTAGCACTGATGATGTCACCTAGCTGGGTCATGAAACATCTGCAAGGAAGCTGTCAAGCTCAGAGAGCACCCAGGATCCCACAGTCATCTTCCAGCTCCTCCTGCTTCTCCACAAACCCCATCCTCTTAACCCTGATGCTGTCACCTAGCTAGGTCACGAAACGTCTGCGAGAAAACCGCCAAGTTCAGAGAGTAACAAGGACCCCAGAGTTGTTCTCCTCCTCCTCCTCCTCCTCCTCCTCCTCCTCCTCCTCCTCCTCCTCTCTCCACCAACCCCCCTCCCTTCTATCACTCATGATGTTAGCTATGCATGTCATCTAATCATCGCTGGATTAGAACCAGCAAGGCTCCGGGTTCAAGAACTCTCCGTCAAATCACGCTCTTTCACGCCTTTTCTTTCTCTAACTGATTAAAAAAAAAAAGAATAGTATGTGTGCCACCTGAAACTTTTGGGGAAATACAGTAGTGGCCAAAATTGTGGAAACTTTTTGGGAAAAGTGTATTTTTGAGGTCGGATGGCTAATAACACCACTTGTTTTTTTTTGGGGGGGGGAGTAGTACCGTAAAATTATATATCAACGGAAAGATAATTTTATCGTAATGCAACAAAGTTTGTTCAATTATCTCTACTGTATTGTATGAAAAGTTATAAGCCAAACAACCAGAAAAAAAAAAAAGCACAACTTGCTCAGGTTGGTCTCAGGTAGCTTTCCTTTGTCTGATTGTAGCCAATGAGTGTGAGCGTTTAGAGCAGTGGTTCTCAACCTTTTTAATGCCGTGACCCCCAACCGGTCGTAAGTTGAGGACTACTCAACCGGTCGTAAGTCGAGAATTACTCAACTGGTGCAGCACCGTTTGCAGAATGGGACTTTGGGCGGGCTCAGCAGGGCAGAGACAGCCTGGACAATTCCTATTGGCTTTTGAAAGCCAATAGAATTAGACTCTATTCAAGAGAGTCTATTCTATTGGCTTTCAAAAGCCAATAGAATAAAAGGGAGTAGCACAGCTAAGGAAAAGGGGAAGAAAAATGGCAGACTGCGTTGTTTGGCGACCCCCGTGAAATGGTCGTTCGACCCCAAATGGGGTCCCGACCCACAGGTTGAGAACCATTGGTTTAGAGAGCCAATGGGGCGTCATCTTGTTTTGGCCATGAGCCAATCAGATCACAGCAGGATCCGGTGATTGATGTCCTGTTTTGAAGCTGAGAGAAGGACATTTGTCAGGGTTTTATGTGATGGCTATCGAGTTGGTTGGGGTTTTTTTTGTGTTCTTTCATTGAGTGAGCTTGTAAAACTTAATAAAATTAAAGTCATGGTGCACTGGTGTTGACCAGTGGCCCAGAAAGTGATGTAAAGTAGTATTAAGTGAACAAGGCTACAGTTATTAAAGAAATTGGAAGAAAAATGGGTGGAAACTTAACCAAAGGTGGCATTTCTACTGGACACTTTTCCCAAAAGGTTTCCACAATTTTGGCCACTCCTGTAGGTCATATTAAAAGAGGGATAGAATCGAGATCACACCAAGTAATAGTACCACTTTGGAAAGCCCTAGTAAGAGCACACTTAGAACACTGCATCCAATTTTGGTCACCCCAATACAAAAAAGATGTGAGGATTTTGGAAAGAGTTCATGAAAGAGCAACAAAGATGAGGAGGGGCCTAGGAGCTATAGCCTACGAAGAACAATTGCGGGAACTGGATACACCTGATCTACTGAAAAGAAGGAGCGGGGTGTATGTGTGTGTGTGTGTGTGTGTGTGTGTGACACGATAGCAGTGTTCCAGTATCTCAGGGGCTGCCCCAAAGAAGAGGGAGTCAAGCTACTCTCCAAAGCCCCTGAAGGCAGGACAAGAAGCAACGGATGGAAACTCATCAAAGAGAGAAGCAACCTAGAACTAAGGAGAAACTTCCTGACAGTGAGAACAATTAACCAGTGGAACTACCTGCCTCCAGAAGCGGTGAATGCTCCAACACTGGAAGTTTTTAAGAAGAGACTGGACAGCCATTTGTCCAGAATGGTATAGGGTTTCCTGCCTGAGTAGGGGGTTGAGTTATATGTAAAACAGTATTATTAAGTGAAAGAGGCTACAGTTATAAAGAAATTGGAAAAAAAATGGGTGGAAACGTAACCAAAGGGGGCATTTCTACTGGACACGTTTCCCAAAAGGTTTCCACAATTTTGGCCACTCCTGTAAATATAAACACCCAGCTGTGGACGCACCTTAGGGGGGGCTGCAGGGAAGGGGTCCAGGGCATGCGGTGGGCGCGGCACGGCTGGAGATGCTGGCCCTTCTTCCTTCTTGATTCTCTGCAGCGCCAAGACCTGATCAGACGAACCCATGGCTAAGGTGGCCTTCAGGGTCCCGTTCTTTTGGCCGGAGAAGACGTCGACCACGTCCACGGAGCCGTCCACTGCCAGCACAGGATACTGAGCTTGAAGCAGCAGGCTGGAAACCTTGGTGTCTCTGCAGGGGGAAGAGGCAGACGCCATCAGCAGGCCTGGCTTGACAGGTTCCTCAACAGCCAGGGGTCTTCAAACCTGGCTGCTTTAAGACGGTGGACTTCAACTCCCAGAATTCCTCAGCCTTTAAGACTAGTGGACTTCAACTCCCAGAATTCCCCAGCTTTTAAGACTAGTTGACCTCAACTCCCAGAATTCCCCAGCCAGCCAAACTGGGCCGCATTAAGACTGGTGGACTTCAACTCCCAGAATTCCTCAGCCTTTAAGACTGATGGACTTCAACTCCCAGAATGCCTCAGCCTTTAAGACTGATGGACTTCAACTCCCAGAATGCCTCAGCCAGCCAAACTGGGCCGCGTTAAGACTGGTGGATTTCAACTCCCAGAATTCCTCAGCCTTTAAGACTGGTGGACTTCAACTCCCAGAATGCCTCAGCCAGCCAAACTGGGCCGCGTTAAGACTGGTGGACTTCAACTCCCAGAATTCCTCAGCCCGCATGGGGGAACTTTGGCCCCTTCATGACTCGTGGACTTCAACTCCCAGAATTCCCCAGCCAGCCAAACTGGGCTGCTTTAAGACTGGTGGACTTCAACTCCCAGAATTCCTCAGCCCGCATTGGGGAACTTTGGCCCCTTCATGACTCGTGGACTTCAACTCCCAGAATTCCTCAGCCAGCCTGGCTCAGCTTGGAAACCTCCCCCTTTCCGTTCAGCATAGCTGACTCAGGCATTCTGGGAGTTGAAGTCCATGAGTCATAAAAGAGCCAAGGCTGCCTACCCCTCTCCCTGGGGTGCCAAGGAAGATGCTTACCTGAACGAAACGTAGAACTGATGCAGGGGAAGCTTGGCCAGTCCCAGCAGCCGGTCCCCTCCCGGGCTGAGCACCTTATTCCACACCTCAATCACCATGACGTTGTTCTTCAGCCGCTCCAGATGTTTCGATGTCAGCGCAACGGGGGTAATCTAGAGGGAGGATTGGACCGTTAGCAGAGCAGCTTACAAATCTTGAGGAAGGCCTGGCAACATCTTCTCTCAATGACATATCCTGTAGGTAGGATATGTTGAACTTGAACATATCATAGACTTGAACAGTGGGTGCTATCTAACAAAATGAAATTCAATGGGTGAAAACAGCAAAGGTTCTACATTTAGGCAAGAAAAACCAAATGTACAGGTATAGCATAGGGGGTACCTTGCTCAATAGTAGCAACTGTGAGAGGGACCTCGGAGTCCTAGTGGACAATCACTTAAATAGGAGCCAGCCGTGTGCTGTAGCTGCCAAAAAGGCCAACACAGTGCTGGGCTGCATCAACAGAGGGATAGAATCAAGATCACGTGAAGGGTTAATACCACTTTACAAGGCCTTGGTAAGGCCACACTTGGAATACGGCATCCAGTTTTGGTCACCACAATGTAAAAAAGATGTTGAGATTCTAGAAAGAGGGCAGAGAAGAGCAACAAAGATGATCAGGGGACTGGAGGCTAAAACATACGAAGAACGGTTGGAGGAATTGGGAATGTCTAGTTTAATGAAGAGAAGGACAAGGGGGGACAGGATAGTAGTGTTCCAACATCTCAGGGGCTGCCCCAAAGAAGAGGCAGTCAAGCTATTCCCCAAAGCCCCTGAAGGTAGGACAAGAAGCAACGGGTGGAAACTCATCAAGGAGAGAAGCAATCTAGAACTAAGGAGAAACTTCCTGACAGTTAGAACAATTAACCAGTGGAACCACCTGCCTCCAGAAGCGGTGAATGCTCCAACACTGGAAGTTTTTAAGAAGAGACTGGACAGCCATTTGTCTGAAATGGTATAGGTTTTCCTGCCTGAGTAGGGGGTTGGACTAGATGAAATTTAAGGTCACTTCCAACGCTATTATTATTATTATTATCGATCATCGCACAGTCAGCCAGATGTTCAGACTGGATTTGGCATTTTGTCTACCTATCGAGTCCTTACCCAGGACCTGGGATAGGCAGATGTGGATGTTTGATGGTATTACAGATATCGTCGCAGGATGGAAACAGTTCCTAATAAGGCCGCCTTTTGCAAATGACTAATAGCAAATTTGTCAATGCCAATGGTGTTCAAGTGGTGCTCCAGTTGTTTTGGGATTGTACCCAAGGAGCCTATGACTATTGGTACTACCCTTGCTTGCTTTTGCTACAGTCTTTCTATTTCTATTTGTAGGTCTTTGTATTTTGTTATCTTCTCCAGTTCTTGCTCTTCTATTCTGCTATCTCCAGGCACTGCCACGTCCACTATCCAGACTTTTTTGTCTTTCTTATCGACAATTGTTAAGTCTGGGTGTTATGTTGCAGGTGCTTGTCTGTTTGAATTCTGAAGTCCCAGAGCAGTTTAATTTTATCATTTTCTATGACTTCCTCTATTTTATGATCCCACCAGTTGTTTAGTATTATTATTATTATCGATCATCGCACAGTCAGCCAGATGTTCAGACTGGATTTGGCATTTTGTCTACCTATTGAGTCCTTACCCAGGACCTGGGATAGGCAGATGTGGATGTTTGATGGTATTACAGATATCGTCGCAGGATGGAAGCATTCCCTAATAAGGCCACCTTTTGCAATTGACTAAAAGCGAATTTGTCAATTCAATGGTGTTCAAGTGGTGCTCCAGTTGTTTTGGAATTGCACCCAAGGAGCCTATGACTATTGGTACTACCCTTGCTTGCTTTTGCCACAGTCTTTCTATTTCTATTTGTAGGTCTTTGTATTTTGTTATCTTCTCCAGTTCTTTCTCTTCTATTCTGCTATCTCCAGGCACTGCCACGTCCACTATCCAGACTTTTTTGTCTTTCTTATCGACAATTGTTAAGTCTGGGGTGTTATGTTGCAGGTGCTTGTCTGTTTGAATTCTGAAGTCCCAGAGCAGTTTAATTTTATCATTTTCTATGACTTTCTCTATTTTATGATCCCACCAGTTTTTGCTTACAGGCAAATGATATTTTTTGCAGATCTTCCAATGCACCATTGTTGCTACTTTGTCATGCCGCTGCTTGTAGTCAGTCTGTGCAATCTTCTTGCAACAGCTTACCAAGTGGTCCACTGTTTCTTCAGCTTCTTTGCATAGGCGGCACTTACTGTCTGTTGCTGTCTCTCAATTTTGACTTTGTATGCATTTGTCCTTAAGGCTTGGTCTTGTGCAGCCAGAATTAGTCCCTCGGTCTCTTTCTTCAATTTTCCTGCTCTTAGCCATTGCCAGGTTATTATCTGCTTTCCCAGCTATTTTTTTCATGTTTGCCATGTAGTGCTTTGTCTTCCCATGCCTCTATTCTGTTCTTCATTTGGTCTTTCTTGAAGGCCAGTTTGGTCTCTCCAGTAGTTAGTAAGCCTTCCTGATATACTAATTTCAGTGCATCTTCATCATTCTTCTTCAGATATTCTTCCAAAGCCATTTTTTCTTCTTCAACCATCTGATGTACTTGTAGCATTCCACGCCCACCTATTTGCCTTGGTAGATAAAGTCTATCAATGTCACTGCGTGGATGAAGGGCATGATTCATTGTCATTATTTTTCTGGTCTGCCTATCCATTGCTTTTAGTTCTGCTTGAGTCCAGTCCACTATTCCAGCTGTGTACCTAATGACTGGGATTGCCCAGGTGTTGATTGCCTTTATGGTATTTCCTCCATTGAGTTTGGACTTTAAGATCTTCTTCACTCTCTTGATGTATTCACCTCTAATCTTTTTCTTGACTTCAGTGTGCTTGATGTTGTCAGCTTGAAGGATACCCAAGTATTTGTAGTACTCTTCCTCATCCAGACTCTTAATGTTATTTTTCGTGGGGCATCTTGATTCCTTCAGTTTTCACTATTTTTCCTTGTTTGATAGTAAGTGTGGCACATTTGTCCAAGCCAAACTCCATTACAATATCTTGGCTATATATACGGACAGTGTTGAGCAGCGATTCTATTTCAGATGATGTTTTTCCATACAGCTTCAGATCATCCATATAAAGGAGGTGGGATAGTCTGGCAGATGTTTTTGATGTTTGATAGCCATGTCCTGAGTTATTCAGTATTGTTGACAGAGGAAACAGTGCAATAACAAATAGTAATGGTGATAATGAATCTCCTTGAAATATTCCTCTCTTGATATTAACCTCTCCCAGCCTCTCACCATTGATCTGCAACTGTGTCTTCCATTGTGCCATCGATCTTTGCACAAATTTTCTGATGTTTCTACTGACTCCTGTTATTTCTAGGCACTTTATTATCCAATCATGTGGCAGAGAGTCAAATGCCTTTTTGTAGTCAATCCATGCCACATTCAGGTTGGTCTTCCTTCTCTTGCAGTTTTCCAAGATCATTTTGTCTATTAGGAGTTGATCTTTTGTTCCTCTGCTATTGGGGCGGTTTCCTTTCTGCTCAGGTGGAAAGAGATTGTTTTCAACTAGATGCTGTTGCACTGCATCAGCTACTACACCAGTTAGTAATTTGAAAGTTGTTGGTAAGCAGGTAATTGGCCTGTAGTTACCTGGTGTTGCCCCTTTTGCTGGATTTTTCATTATTAGGTAGGTTTTCCCAGTTGTTAGCCACTTTTCAATTTCTCCTCCTTGTAGTATATTGTTGAATTGCTTGGCAATGAGTGGGTGTATAACAGTTAGATGTTTCAACCAAAACCCATGCAGTTCATCTTCACCTGGTGCTGACCAATTTTTGATTTTCTTTGCTCTTTTTTCTACCATTTTTGTTGTTATTACTAGTTCTTTCATTTCAACTTCTGTTTTATTTGCATCCACCTCTTTTAACCAAGCCGCATCCTTGTTGTATTTCTTTGGGTTATCCCATATCTGCTTCCAGAACTGCACTGTTTCTTCCTTGTCAGGTACTGACTGATTCTTGCAGTTTCTCCATTGATGGATTGGTAGAAACGTTTCTGATTGGATTGAAATTGGAGGTTCTGCCTATAGTTTGCAATTCGAGCTTCATATCTACTGATTTTCCTGGCTATAGCTGTTATTTGTTGCTTTATTATTTCCAGTGCTTCCTTGATCTTCCTTGTTTCTAAGTGGTATTTCTTGATTAGGTATTCTTTGGTCTTCTTGTTCTTCAGCTTCTTTTCTTTCATCTGTTCTAGCTTGCTTGCATGTGATCTTAACTTGCTGATCTTATTTTCTAGTCTAACCTTCCATTTTTCTGGTGCACTGTTCGTTTGTTTTTCTTCTTTGTTGATTTTGCATCCCAGGTATTCTGTTATAACTGCAGCTGTGCTGTACATTAGTTGGTTTGTTTCTTGCAGTGAATTTGGTGCTTATACTTGATATTGCAGTATTTGCATCTTTTAATGCTTGTGCTAGCTGTTTCTTTGGAACAAGCTTCAATGCAGGCAGCCTTATTCTGTTGTTTTTGTGCTGTTCTAGATGCTCAGTTATTCTTTGTTTCAATTCTTTTATTTCTTTAGTTAGAGGATTTTGTTCTTCCTGAGGTAGAGGTGCCTGGTTTCCAAATGAGAACAGTTGTATATCTTTGCTAGATTCCTTCACTGCCAACTCCCCCTGGTTTGCCTCTACATTCTGAATTACTTCTGGTAAGGCTTTGATTTCTTTGCCCTGGGTAAACCTTTGCAGTTCGTCCAATTCTGTTTCTGTGAATACTTTATTTAGTGTTATAAATCGGGCGTTGATCTGCTAGTCTCTGTTCTGTTATTTCTGATTCTGGATGTTGTTCTTTCCAGAACTGGTGCATTCGTTTTAGATATCCTCTCGTCTTGTTGGACTTGATCTGTAGTAACAGATCATTATTTCTTTGTTTTCCATCACTGTGTATCTGCGACGGGTAAACACCTTTTCTTCCAGTAGTTCTGCAGCTGCTGGCCCTGGTTGCTCAGCCAACAGTCCTGAGTCCTGTAACCCATTTTTCACCAGATATCCAGGAACTCCAATATCTAGTGCGGACCTTGTTAACCCGGGCGACGTCCGAGCCGGTATGGCATTCTGAAATTTACGTCTCACCATATTTTTTATGGGAGAGACACTCTTTGTCTGACTCCTCTGATGAGACCTGTCCAGTATGGTTGAACCTCTGGCATAGCTCTCATCTTCATCATCATTATTATTATTATTATTATTATTATTATTATTATTATTATTATTATTATCAATCATCACACAGTCAGCCAGATGTTCAGACTGGATTTGGCATTTTGTCTACCTATCGAGTCCTTACCCAGGACCTGGGATAGGCAGATGTGGATGTTTGATGGTATTACAGATATCGTCGCAGGATGGAAGCAGTTCCTAGTAAGGCCGCCTTTTGCAATTGACTAATGGCAAATTATTATTATAATTATAATTATTATTATTTTATATAGATAAGGTAACCTTTATTGTCATTTTTTACTGTGGGCACGATACACATCAAAAATGGAATTTAGTTGCCCGCTCTCAAAGTGAACACATACATGACACACGCCTAAACATACTATATACAACATATACATACTATATACAACATATGTATAGACCTACACCCCTACATATTACTAGTACTACTACTACTACTACTATTACTATTAAATTTATACGTGACTAGGAGAGAGACAACAGACTCCCGCTCCTCGACCTCGAGGTAAGGAGCCAACGGACGACGGAGAACGGGAGACCTGCGTCTTTGGCGAACCCACACCCACGGACATTGCCGTGACTTGCCTGAGAAAAGTGGAAGGTGGGCCGCGGGGTCCCCCACACGACAGCAGACCTGGTGGCCTCTTCGGTGCTGAAGAGCTTGCAGATTAAGTACAGGTTGCAAGCGAGGTCCAGGCCCCCGTTGGGAGGGAGACTGATCTGCCCTTCCGAGACCATCAAGAGGACGTGCAGCAGCGCTCCTTCCTCTTCCGAGGGGCTTATCTGCATCAGGAGGTTGCGGGAGACGGGCGGAGGGACCGGCTGCCGACCCACGTCCTTGGGGGACCTCGGAGAAGCCGCTGGCAAAGGATCTTCGCTTCTCGCTGGGACCTGGCGGATCCTTTGAGGGCTTCTGGTATAGGAAGAGGGGCTGCTTTCAGCCTCCTGCAAAATGGCGCCGTGGCTCCGGACGGAACCGACGGGGGCTCTGGGCGATGCGCTGCTTGCTTTGATGTTGGAGACGTCTTTGTTGGCCGCAACAAGCTCCACAGACACCTATTTCGTGGAAGTTAGAGACATCGCTGTTAAGAGGATTGAGGGAACCCTGGCCCGTTACCACCCAACGTCTAAACGTCTAGGGAGGTTCTCCATCCACCATCCTCCAGGTCCCAGTTGTCCCAAAGGTGCTTTTTCAAGAGGCCACTGCAGCGGTCATTAACTGAACTATTGTAAGCCGAGGACCACTGATACCGGGGTAGGCAACCTTGGCTCTTTTATGACTCGTGGACTTCAACTCCCAGAATTCCTGAGCCAGCATGGGGGAACTATGGCCCCTTCATGACTCGTGGACTTCAACTCCCAGAATTCCTCAGCCAGCAATGGGGGAACTGTGGCCCCTTCATAACTCGTGGACTTCAACTCCCAGAATTCCTCAGCCAGCATGGGGGAACTATGACCCCTTCATGACTCGTGGACTTCAACTCCCAGAATTCCTGAGCCAGCATGGGGGAACTATGGCCCCTTCATGACTCGTGGACTTCAACTTCCAGAATTCCTCAGCCAGCATGGGAGAACTATGGGCCCTTTATGACTGGTGGACTTCAACTCCCAGAATTCCTCAGCCAGCATGGGGGAACTATGACTCCTTCATGACTCGTGGACTTCAACTCCCAGAATTCCTCAGCCAGCATGGGGGAACTATGACCCCCTTCATGACTTTTGGACTTCAACTCCCAGAATTCCTCAGCCAGCATGGGGGAACTATGGCCCCTTCATGACTCGTGGACTTCAACTCCCAGAATTCCTCAGCCAGCATGGCTTAGCTTGGAAACCTCTCCCTTTCCCCTCAGCATGGCTGGCTCAGGAATTCTGGGAGTTGAAGTCCACAAGTCATAAAAGGGCCAAGGTTGCCTACTCCTGCTTTATACGTATCATTAGTCATTTTAACATTCAATCTTTTTAGACAATCCATGTCCTGGTTAAGTTATTTTCCCAATTTTTAACTTCCCATTACTATTTAAATTTAATGTTGAATATTTATAATCTCCAAGTTTTCAATAACCCCAATTCCCTTCATCACAATTCATCCCAAGTTCTTATATCAGCTGGTTAACAATACAATATAATATTCTTATTTTCTAATAATTTCTAAATATCTAAATTTGTTGTTAGTTGCGAAGTCGTGTCTGACCCATTGCGACCCCATGGACAACATTCCTCCAGGCCTTCCCGTCCTCTACCATCTTCTGGAGTCCATTGAAGCTCACGCCTCCTGCTTCAGGGACTCCATCCAGCCACCTCCTTCTCTGTCGTCCCATTCTTCTCTTGCCCTCCATCTTTCCCAGCATCAGGCTCTTCTTCAGCGAGTCCTTCCTTCTCATTAGGTGGCCAAAGTATTTGAGTTTCAACTTCAGGATCTGGCCTTCTAAAGAGCAGTTGGGGTTGATCTCCTCTAGGACTGACCGGTTAGATCGCCTTGCAGTCCAGGGGACTCGCAGGAGTCTTCTCCAGCACCAGAGTTCAAAGGCCTCCATTCTTTGGCGCTCAGCCTTTCTTATGGTCCAGCTTTCACAGCCGTACGTTGCAACTGGGAAAACCATGGCCTTGACTATACGCACTTTTGTTGGCAGGGTGACGTCTCTGCTTTTTAGTATGCTGTCTAGATTTGCCATAGCTTTCCTCCCCAGGAGCAAGCGTCTTTTAATTTCTTGGCTGCAGTTGTGGTCTACATTTAGTATCTAAATTTAATAACCAAAATATTCTTGTTTTGTGTAAGCAGAAGTCACCTTGACAACAGGTGTAGCCCTACTTGGCAAATCTACTTGGATAATGTGAGAAATAACCCACCCTGACTTTAGGGACCAATCTTCCACAAGTGGGTTGTGCAATCACACCCTCACGTGCTCTTCCACCCGTGAAAAATGCTATCCAAATGTGGAATGACGAAACAAGGGTTATTGCCCAGGATTTTAGAAATTAAAAAAAAAAAAAGTCAGAAGCAAATTCTATACCTGTAAAGGCCCCAATTGTCCTGGGACACCGTTTTCTTTCACCAGCAATTCACGGCTGACGAATAAATCCTCGGACCGAAGAACATCACGAAGGGGAAAGGCTGCCGTGCCGATCAACGCTGGCTAAAGGTCACAATGAGAGAAATTACGTGCATTCTGCACAGTTCTCTTGCGGGTGCTACACAATCCCTATTGCGCAGAACTCTCTATTTATGCTGCGTCTATGAAGAGTGTACACACACAGCATAAACTCTGTAGTGTTCATTGGGGTGACCCCGGTCAGACTACTTAGCCGAGGGACTCCTAAACCGCAAGGCGCGGTTGAAACTTAGCAAAAACGTGATCAATGTTGGATAGTAGAATTTAGTGTCAAAGGCATCACAGAGCAGAGTCGATAAATATTTGAGAATATTTATCTGCACACCAGGAGTTGCCATTTGCACTTTTTATTAAATACCTGGCCATTCTAATTCGTTTTTATCTTAAAATGCTAGTATCAGATCAATCCGACTCCATCTCCGTGTCTAGGGCCAGGTACTGCTCAAAAGTCTGCACTTTGCACTGTAGGATTGATTCTAACCCCCTTAGATATTTTAGTAATTTAGTAGTAATAGTAATAAAGTTGGAAGGGACCTTGGAAGTCATCTAGTCCAACCCCCTGCTCAGGCAGGAAATGTTTGTGTGTGTGCGCTCATGCATGCATGCATGCATGTATGTGTGTGTGTGTGTGTGTGTGTTTAGATAAATAGATAGATAGATAGATAGATAGATAGATAGATAGATAGATAGATAGATAGATACAGAAAGACAGACAGACAGACAGAAGGACAGACACAGAGAGACGGATAGAGATAGAGAGATATAGATGAATGTAGATAGATATAGATAGATAGATATAGAGATAGAGATATAGATATAGATACAGATATATAGACAGATAGATAGGTACAGAAAGACAGACCGACACAGAGAGATGGATATAGGGAGATAGAGATAGGTGAAAGTAGATAGATATAGATATATAGATATAATTAGATAGATAGATAGATAGATAGATAGATAGATAGATAGATAAAGACAGACAGACAGACAGACAGACAGACAGAAGGACAGACACAGAGAGACGGATAGAGATAGAGATATAGATGAATGTAGATAGATATAGATAGATAGATATAGAAATAGAGATATAGATACAGATATATAGACAGATAGATAGGTACAGAAAGACAGACCGACAGAGAGATGGATATAGAGAGATAGAGATAGGTGAAAGTAGATAGATATAGATATATAGATATAATTAGATAGATAGATAGATAGATAGATAGATAGAGAAAGACAGACAGACAGACAGAAGGACAGACACAGAGAGACGGATAGAGATAGAGAGATATAGATGAATGTAGATAGATATAGATAGATAGATATAGAGACAGAGATATAGATATAGATACAGATATATAGACAGATAGATAGGTACAGAAAGACAGACCGACACAGAGAGATGGATATAGAGAGATAGAGATAGGTGAAAGTAGATAGATATAGATATATAGATATAATTAGATAGATAGATAGATAAATAGATAGATAGATACAGAAAGACAGACAGACGGACAGACAGACACAGAGAGACGGATAGAGATAGAGAGATAGAGATAGGTGAATGTAGATAGATAGATACAGATATAGAGATATAGATAGATACAGATATATATATTTGTTTTCTGAGGGTGTTTGTATGTAGGTAGGTCTTTGGTTATTTGAGTTTTCTCCCATGTCAGAAAACCCGAATAACCAAAGACCTATATAGATAGATAGATAGATAGATAGATAGATAGATAGATAGATAGATAGATAGATAGATATGCATGCATATATACATACACACACACAAATATATTAATGTTGCTAAGTGAAACATTTGTTAAGTGGATTTTGCCCCATTTTAGATTCTTGTCTGTGTTGTTAAGTGAATCACGGCAGTTGTTAAATCAGTAACACGGTTGTTAAGTGAATTTGACTTCCCCCATTGACTTTGCTTGGCAGAAGGTCACAAAAGGGGATCACATGACCCCAGGACACTGCGTCCGTCATAAATAGGAGTCAGTTGCCAAGCCTTTGAATTTCGATCACTTGACCAGGGGATGCTGCAACAGTCATAAATGTGAAAAGTCACGTTTTTCAGTGTGGGTGTGGATGGGTGTTATTAATATATGTGCATGCATACGCACACGCAAATCCTTTCTTTTGCATTTTAATTAATTAATTAATTGCAGTGTATGTTCTCCACACACTAGTCTACGAACGAGTAAGGATTTGATGAGGATTTGAGACATTTTTCACCCCCCTTTTACAAGTCAGCAGTGCTGAAATGGCTTTAAAAAGGAATCAAAATGCAGGCTAAAACACAGCGACGTGTGACGTGAAAGGCGCACGCTAAAAAAAACCTCCCACAAATAATATCTATTAAAGTCAGTTGGGGCCCCCCGCCTTCAAGATATCGAGATGCACAAAGACGGATGTTGGCTAAACTAACAATTCTGTGTTGTTTTAACTCAGGGCTCTTCCAACTTGGCCCTTTGATGACTTGTGGACTTCAACTCCCAGAATTCCTCAGCCAGGCACCCGTGCCTGGCTGAGGAATTCTGGGAGTTGAAGTCCACAAGTCATCAAAGGGCCAAGTTGGAAGAGTCTTGGTTTAACCCACCGGGGTTTTGGTCCTGTCCTGCAATGAATCATAAAATAAGTCCACTTCCCTTTAATTACTTTTCATCCAGAACAGTGGTTCTCAACCTGTGGGTCGGGACCCCATTTGGGGTCGAACGACCATTTCACGGGGGTCGCCAAACAACGCAGCCCGCCATTTCCCCCCCCTTTTCCTTAGCTGTGCTACTCCCTTTTATTCTATTGGCTTTTGAAAGCCAATAGAATAGACTCTCTTGAATAGAGTCTAATTCAGTGGTTCTCAACCTGTGGGTCGGGACCCCATTTGGGGTCGAACGACCATTTCACGGGGGTTGCCAAACACTGTCCGCCATTTTTTCCCCTTTTCTTTGGCCATGCCCCTGGCACCCGGTGATGTATAAATGGTTGGGGGGTCACCACAACATGGGGAACTGTATTATGGGGTCGCAGCATTAGAAAGGTTGAGAACCACTGGTCTAATTCTATTGGCTTTCAAAAGCCAACAGGAATTATCCAGGCTGTCTCTGCCCTGCTGAGCCCGCCAAAAGTCCCATTCTGCAAACGGTCCTGCACCAGTTGAGTAGTCCTCGACTTACGACCGGTTGAGTAGTCCTCGACTTACGACCGGTTGGGGGTTGCGGCATTAAAAAGGTTGAGAACCACTGATCCAGAAGGATAATATGGAAAATGACAGTACCTTCCTTTGGGTGCCTTTCTTCAAAAACAAGTTAAATTCGAGGGGCGACTTCCACCAATGGGTGATCATGGAGCCATTGAAGTGGACAGGGAACACGTGGCGTTGTTGAAACTTCACCCCTGCAGACACAACAAAACAGAAAAGGTAGAAAAAGCACTTCCAAAGTCAACATTTCAAGGATTCGGTAGAAGAAGACTCAAGAAAGAATCTAGGACAGTGGCTCTCAAACTTTTTAATGCCGCGACCCCCAACCAGTCATAAGTCGAGGACTACTCAACCGGTCGTAAGTCGAGGACAACTCAACGGGTGCAGCACCGATTGCAGAATGGGACTTTTGGCGGGCTCAGCAGGGCAGAGACAGCCTGGACAATTCCTATTGGCTTTTGAAAGCTAATAGAATTAGACTCCATTCAAGAGAGTCTATTCTATTGGCTTTCAAAAGCCAACGGAATAAAAGGGAGTAGCAGAGCTAAGAAAAAGGGGAAAAAAAATAGTGGACTGCGTTGTTTGGCGACCCCCGTGAAATGGTCGTTCGACCCCAAATGGGGTCCCGACCCGCAGGTTGAGAACCGCTGATCTAGGATGTCTGCAGTGGTATTAAAAAAAAAAAAAGAAGAAGAAGAGCAATCAGGATAGACTCAGGATAGAGATACATTCTCAATTTGCAAAGGAGCAGCTTGTTTTTCCTCAAAAATAAATAAATAAAGTCCAGCTGTCTTCTCAAACTAAAAAAGAACCGTGGATAACTGAAAATCTTCATTGACATGTGGCAGAAATGGTCGTAAAAATTGGGCAGGGCTCCCTTATCGCATCGACGGGCGCCGATGATGTTAGCTAGTTTTGGCAATAAAACATCCACGCTCCACAGGGAGAGTGCAAAAGTTGGCTTGAAACTCAACATTAAGAAAACCAAGGTCATGGCATCCGGCCCTCTCAATTCCTGGCAAATAGATGGGGAAGAAATGGAGGTAGTGACAGATTTTATCTTCCTGGGCTCCAAGATCGCCACAGATGGGGACTGCAGCCAAGAAATTAAAAGACGCTTGCTCCTGGGGAGGAAAGCTATGGCAAATCTAGAGAGCATATTAAAAAGCAGAGACATCACCCTGCCAACAAAAGTGCGTATAGTCCAGGCCATGGTTTTCCCAGTTGCAACGCACGGCTGTGAAAGGTGGACCATAAGAAAGGCTGAGCGCTAAAGAATGGAGGCCTTTGAACTGTTTAACGAAAAGAAGGACGAGGGGGGACATGATAGCAGTGTTCCAATATCTGAGGGGCTGCCCCAAAGAAGAGGGAGTCAAGCTGTTCTCCAAAGCGCCTGAAGGCAGGACAAGAAGCAACGGGTGGAAACTCACCAAGGAGAGAAGCAACCTGGAACTAAGGAGAACTTCCTGATAGTTAGAACAATTAACCAGTGGAACAACCTGCCTCCAGAAGCGGTGAATGCTCCAACACTGGAAGTTTTTAAGAAGAGACTGGACAGCCATTTGTCTGAAATGGTATAGGGTTTCCTGTCTGAGCAGGGGGTTGGACTAGATGACCTCCAAGGTCCCTTCCAACGTTGTTATTATTATTATTATTATTATTATTATTATTATTATTATTATTATTATTATTATTATGGTGCTGGAGAAGATTCCTGTGAGTCCCCTGGACTGCAAGGAGATCCAACCAGTCAGTCCTGGAGGAGATCAACCCCAACTGCTCTTGAGAAGGCCAGATCCTGAAGCGGAAACTCAGGTACTTTGGCCACCTAATGAGAAGGAAGAACTCGCTGGAGAAAAGCCTGATGCTGGGAAAGATGGAGGGCAAGAGAAGAAGGGGACAACAGAGAATGAGGGGGCTCGATGGAGTCACTGAAGCCATAGGCATGAGCTTCAAGGGACTCCAGAAGATGGTAGAGGACAGGAAGGCCTGGAGGAATGTTGTCCATGGGATCACGATGGGTCGGACACGACTTTGCAACTAACACAGCCTTCCTCAGCAATGGAAATTCTCGTCTCCATTGGAAGTGGAAGACTGTATACATTTAAATTCCCGCCATGAAAACATTTATTTAAATAGTTGCTGAGTTTCTAAAAGGGCAGTCACGGTCGCTGTGGACAATATAACAACCGGCTCCGCTCGATCCGACGCGGGATTATGGGGAAAATGGTGGCCTTCCCACTCAAGTCTTACCGTCTGCTGAGAATCTACTGGAAGCCACCCGGACAATCTCCGTAGTTACGGCTGTCTGGCCTATCCCATTTTTTGAAGTTCCCACGGGAAAGTGATACTCCACAAAGAGCGTCCTAGGCAGAGAAGAAATTGTGGAAATAAATGGAGGCAGTTCAACGACCTTCGGTGTTTTTAATAAGACTGGCCAAAACTTTGGGAGACTTAATCCGTTCCTTAATTCACGAGGCGCATAACAACAATCCTGTGAGCTGGCGATTGGCCCAAAGTCTTCCAGCCAGCTTTCATGCCTAAGGCAGGACTAGAACTCACCGTCTCCTGGTGATTGGCCCAAAGTCACCCAGCCGGCTTTCACGCCTAAGGCGGGACTAGAACTCACCGTCTCCTGATGATTGGGCTAAAATCACCCAGTTGGTTTTCATGTCTAAGGCGGGACTGGAACTCACACCTCCTGGTTTCTACCCTGGTGCCTTCACCACTAGACCAAACTTCCACCTTAAAAATGATCTTTGGAAGAGATCTCCCCCCCCCCTTATCGTTTGTGGAAGCCTCTGCTCTCCGATTAAAAGAGCAATTCCTATGAGATCTAGCGAGTTGACAGGGCTGATTAAAACTCTCACCTCCTCTTAGCCAAAGCTGGCCTGGGCGGTTTCCCACGGGGGCTCTTCAGATTGGGGGTACTCGGAGTGCTGTCCTCTGGGGGCACCCCTCTGAAGCTGTCAATCACCACTCTGGCTAGGTGGATCCGGCCCAGTAGGGCCAGCCTGTCAAGGCTCAGACTGACAGCTTGGATTTCATCTGTGGACTCGCTGAACGACGGATGAGGAGTGGGTTGAGCAGGGGAACGGCTGCAAAGAGAAACACGGAACTGAAGGACCTTTTAAGTCAGTGGTTCTCAACCTTTTTAATGCCGTGACCCCCAACCAGTCATAAGTCAAGGACTACTCAACCGGTCGTAAGTAGAGGACTACTCAACTGGTGCAGCACCATTTGCAGAATGGGACTTTTGGCGGGCTCAGCAGGGCAGAGACAGCCTGGACAATTCCTATTGGCTTTGGAAAGCCAATAGAATTCGACTCTATTCAAGAGAGTCTATTCGATTGGCTTTCCAAAGCCAATAGAATAAAAGGGAGGAGCACAGCTAAGGAAAAGGGGGGAAAAAATGGCGGACTGCATTGTTTGGCGACCCCCGTGAAATGGTCGTTCGACCCCAAATGGGGTCCCGACCCACAGGTTGAGAACTACTGTTTTAAGTGAAACAGCCTTAAAACCACTCTGAGGTCTTGTAATTAAAATGCTTGCATGCATCACCAGGTGTATTACAGGTGATTCTCGAATTACCACACCGTTTAGTGACCGTTCGAAATTAGAACGGCTCTGAAAAAGGTGACTTATGACCAGTTTTCAATCTTGCGACCGGAGCATTACTCATTGACGGAAGCGGCACCACAAATTCAACTTAATTTATGAAAAAAGGTAGCCAAAGAAAGGTGTTCTGTTATTTTCCATGCCGCCAAGAGTTGTGAATTCTCCATCGTCGGAGGCTTTTAAGAAGAGCCTGGACAGTCGTTTGTCTGAAATGGTACATTTTTTCCCCTGCCTGAGCAGGGGGTTGGACTAGATGACCTTTAAAGTCCCTTCCAGCTCTGATGTTCTGTTTAGTAAAAAGAAGGACCAGGGTGGACATGATAGCAGCGTTCCAATATCTCAGGGGCTGCCACAAAGAAGATCAGCTATTCTCCAAAGCACTTCAGGGCAGGACAAGAAGCGAGGAGAGAAGCAACCTGGAACTAAGGAGAAACATCCTGACAGTGAGAACAATTAGCCAGTGGAACTACCTGCCTCCAGAAGCGGTGAATGCTCCAACACTGGAAGTTTTTAAGAAGAGACTGGACAGCCATTTGTCCGAAATGGTATAGGGTTTCCTGCCTGAGCAGGGGGTTGGACTAGATGACCACCAAGGTCCCTTCCAACTCTGTTATTATGTATTGTCACAAAATGTTATTTTTTTTGTACCGAAAGAGGCACTTCAATCTACTGTATTTGGCTATCAGCTCCAGATAAGAGAAGAAAGGAGAGAGCTGCGGAAATTGTATCCTTTGCTGACCAGCTGAGATGTATACTGAAAATCTGCAATGTTCAGGTTAAAGCAGGGGTCTTCAATCCTGGCCCTTTTATGACTTGTGGACTACAACTCCCAGTCATAAAAGGGCCAAGTTTGAAGACCCCTGGACTTCAACTCCCAGAATTCCTCAGCCAGGCCCGCTGGCTGAGGAATTCTGGGAGTTGAAGTCCACAAGTCATCAAAGGGCCAAGTTTGAAGACCCCTGACATAATGTGAGGGGGAAATAATGCTAACTCAGAAAGAGCTAAACTGGTGTAACTCAACCTCGGCCATTTTAAAAGGTGTGGAGTTCAACTCCCAGAATTCCTCAACCAGCATGCCTGGCCGACGAGGAATTCTGGGAGTTGAAGTCCACAAGTCATAAAAGGGCCAAGTTTGAAGACTCCTGGACTTCAACTCCCAGAATTCCTCAACCAGCGTGCCTGGCTGAGGAATTCTGGGAGTTGAAGTCCACAAGTCATCAAAGGGCCAAGTTTAAAGACCCCTGGACTTCAACTCCCAGAATTCCTCAGCCAGGCCCACTGGCTGAGGAATTCTGGGAGTTGAAGTCCATAAGTCATAAAAGGGCCAAGTTTGAAGACCCCTGACATAATGTGAGGAAAATAATGTTAACTCAGAAAGAGCTAAACTGGTGTTACTCAACCTCGGCCATTTTAAAAGGTGTGGACTTCGACTCCCAGAATTCCTCAAGCAGCGTGCCTGGCTGAGGAATTCTGGGAGCTGAAGTCCACAAGTCATCAAAGGGCCAAGTTTGAAGACCCCTGGACTTCAACTCCCAGAATTCCTCAGCTAGGCACACTGGCTGAGGAATTCTGGGAGTTGAAGTCCACAAGTCATCAAAGGCCCAAGTTTGAAGACCCCTGACATAATGTGAGGGGGAAATAATGCTAACTCAGAAAGAGCTAAACTGGTGTAACTCAACCTTGGCCATTTTAAAAGGTGTGGAGTTCAACTCCCAGAATTCCTCAACCAGCATGCCTGGCCGACGAGGAATTCTGGGAATTGAAGTCCACAAGTCATCAAAGGGCCAGGATTGAAGACCCCCTGGGTTAAAGGATGAGACCTGAACTGAACATCCTCAGAGGCTGCACGTGGCAGAAAGAGGATTCCAGAACAACGGTTTTACCTGGCTCTCGTCTGCAAGGCCTTCCCTTTCCGCCTGCGAGGACTCGATTCGAAAGCCTTTGGTGATGTCTGCAGCTTTGTGCCCTGCGGCCGACTTAGTTTCCCAGAAGAAACAACCTCCTCCTCCTCGTCACTAAACAGGTCACTGAAACTGCCGTCAGATTTCTGAGGAAAATAATCAAGAAAAACAAACATTACAAGGGAATACTCGTAGCTCAGGGCTAAGGTGTGGGGTCCTTGGTGCTCCCTAACCTTGTCTTTTTCCTTGCAGAGGTTTTGTGACCCAGCTAGGGAACGTTATCAGTGCGAGGAGGAGGAGGAGGAGGAGGAGAAGGAGGAGGATTGTGGGGTCTTTGATGCTCTCTGAGCTTGGCTGTTTTCTTGCAGACATTTCATGACTCAACTAGGTAACATCATCAGTGCTAGAAGGGAGGAGGAGGAGGAGGACAGTGGAGTCCCTGGTGTTCTCTCAGCTTGGCTGTTTTCTTGCAGACGTTTCATGACCCAGCTAGGTAACGTCATCAGTGGTAGAAAGGAGTGGGGTTTACAGAGGGGAGGAGGAGGAAGAAGAGGGGAAGCAAGGAGGAGGAGGACTGTGGAGGTGCTCTCCAAGCTTGGCTTCCTTGCAGATGTTTTATGATCCAACTAGGTGACATCATCACTGCTAGAAGGGAGGAGGAAGAGGAAGGAAGGAAGGAAGGAAGGAAGGAAGGAAGGAAGGAAGGAAGGAAGGAAGGAAGGAAGGAAGGAAGGAAGGACAGACTGTGGGATCCTTGGTGTTCTCTGAGCTGGGTGATTTTCTTGTAGACATTTCATGATCCAGCTAGGTAACATCATCAGTGCTAGAAGTGAGGAGGAAGAGGAAGGAAGGAAGGAAGGAAGGAAGGAAGGAAGGAAGGAAGGAAGGAAGGAAGGAAGGAAGGAAGGAAGGAAGAAAGGAAAGAAGGAAAGAAGGAAAGACAGACTGTGGGATCCTTGGTGTTCTCTGAGCTGGGTGATTTTCTTGTAGACATTTCATGATCCAGCTAGGTCACATCATCACTGCTACAAGGAAGGAAGGAAGGAAGGAAGGAAGGAAGGAAGGAAGGAAGTTAGGAAGGAAGGACAGACTGTGGGGTCCTTGGTGCTCTCTGAGCTGGGTGGTTTTCTTGCAGACGTTTCATGAACCAGCTAGGTAACATTGTCAGTGCTAGAAGGGGGTGGAGTTGGAGGAGGAGGAGGAGGAAGGAAACGACTGTGGGGTCCCTGGTGCTCTCTGAGCTGGCTTCTTTTCTTGTAGACAGTTGCCAAGTTTGGAGCCCCTGGCTGAGGAATTCTGGGAGTTGAAGTCCACAAGTCTTAACAGTTGCCAAGTCAAAAGTAACACTTTTCTAGCCAGAGAGGGGACTTGGAATAATAGGGGACTGACTATTACCCCATAAAGCTGCGTTCAGCCCTGCACACACCTTTTCTACTCACCTGAGCTGCGTAGAACAGATTTTCCAAGAGACTCTGGTCGTAGTGAGGGTCGTTCAATTCACTGTCGTACAAGTGGCTCGCGGGCGAAAGAGACCCGGGAGGAGAGCCCGCCACGTCCGCAAGATGATCCGGAGATAAATCAGAACTGCGGATAAAGGAAGACAAAACTCCACAGGTGCACTTCTTATAAAGGCTACGATATTCTATCTAGGTGGTCCTCAAGTTACAACCATTCATTTAGTGACTCTTTAAAGTCGGAGGTCTTCAAACTTTGGCCCTTTGATGACTTGTGGACTTCAACTTCCAGAATTCCTCAGCCAGGCATGCTGGCTGAGGAATTCTGGGAGTTGAAGTCCACAAGTCATGAAGGGGCCAAAGTTCCCTCATGCTGGCTCAGGAATTCTGGGAGTTGAAGTCCCCGAGTCATGAAGGAGCCATAGTTCCCCCATGCTGGCTGAGGAATTCTGGGAGTTGAAGTCCAAGAGTCACGAAGGGGCCAAAGTTCCCTCATGCTGGCTCAAGAATTCTGGGAGTTGAAGTCCACCAATCAAAAAACGTGGCAACTTTAAGACATGCAGAATTCAACTCCCAGAATTCCTCTGTCAGCCGTGACTAGCTAGGGAATTCTGGGAGTTGAAGTCCACAAGGCCTAAAGTTGCCAAGTTTGAAGAGTCCTGGTTTCAAGTTACAACGGCACTGAAATAAAGTGATTTATACCCAGTCCTCGCACTTACAACCATCCCAACATCCCCAGGGTCTCACAATTAAAATTCAAGATGCTTGGCAACTGACTCGCATTTATGACGGTCGCCATGTCCCGGGGTCGTGTCATCCCCTTTTGCCACCTTCTGACAAGAGGGAAGCTGGATTCACTTAACAACCACGTTAACAACTTAACAACTACTGCGATTCACTTAACAACTGCGGCAAGCAAGGCTGCAAAAGGGGGTAAAAACTCCCTTAAACGACTGCCTCACTTAGCAACAGAATGTTTGTGATCGTAATCTGAGGACTGCTCCAGGAACACAAATTTTGCAAGATTCCTGAGGCATTTTTTTTTTTTCAAACGGGAGCCAAACCAATATATCTCACCTGCCCAGCAGGAGCTCAATGGCTTTTTTCTCAGCATCCAAATCAAATTCCGAACATTCCCGCAATGGCTCAAGAGGGTCTTCACACATAAGGCCGGGATTCTTCAGAGTTCTGGAGATAATATTAGAATTAAAAAAAAGGAAAGGAATCCCGACAAAATATCAGAACCCAAAGCATTTTGTGGAGAGAAAATGTGATCCTTTAAAGTGAGGTGAAGAACAATACCTATATAACACAAATTAAAACAGATTGATTTTGCCTCGGCTTCAAGTTTCTCAGAAAAACCGTCACTAAGGAGAAACTTCCTGACTGTTAGAACAATTCACCAGTGGAACTACTTGCCTCCAGAAGCGGGGAATGCTCCAACACTGGAAGTTTTTAAGAAGAGACTGGACAGCCATTTGTCTGAAATGGTGTAGGATTTCCTGAGCAGAGGGTTGGACTAGATGACCTCCAAGTTCCCTTCCAGCTCTGGCATTCCCTATTCTGATTAAAGGACTGGAGGCTAAAACATACAAGGAACACTTGCTGGAATTGGGTATGTCTAGTTTAATGAAGAGAAGGACGAGGGGGGACAGGATAGCAGCGTTCCAGTATCTCAGGGGCTGCCCCAAAGAAGAGGGAGTCAAGCTATTCTCCAAAGAGCCTGAAGGCAGGACAAGAAGCAACAGATGGAAACTCATTAAGGAGAGAAGCAACCCAGAACTAAGGAGAAACTTCCTGACAGTGAGGACAATTAACCAGTGGAACTGCCTGCCTCCAGAAGCGGTGAATGCACCAACACTGGAAGTTTTTAAGAAGAAACTGGACAGCCATTTGTCTGAAATGGTGTAGGGTTTCCTGCCTGAGCAGGGGGTTGGACTAGATGACCTCCAAGGTCCCTTCCAACATTATTATTATTATTGTTATTATTATTATTATTTATTAAACGCTGGAGACACAAACCTTCCCTCCTGCCTGCCCACACTCACTTTCCAGCTGGTCGGGAGGGGTCCTGCTTTACGGAAGGTCGAGCTTCGTACAGTTCTATGACGGGATCCGGATTGGCTGTCATGGCGGACACAGCCATCGCATTTCGCAAGCGGTTCCCTCGGTCCAAAAGGTCTTGGGAAGAAAGAGAACATGAAAAACATAATTAAAATTAAAAACAAAGGGCACCAACCACTCCGGCCGACCGTGATCCTCTTTCCGGGATTCAAATGCAATACGGCCTTTAAAAGAGAGATAAAAAAATTGAAATAAAGATAGTCCTCGATTTATGACCACAAATGAGCCCAAATTTTTAACAGTTGTTAAGTGAGTTTTGCCCAGGGATGGGATTCAGCCAGTTCGCAACCGGTAGGTCATTTTTTTGTTGCCCGGGCCCAGAACGGACTTCCGGAAGCGGCATCTACACAGAGAACCGGTGGTTCACCTATTTGAATCCCGTTTTGCCCCATTTTATGGCCTTTTTTTGCCATGGCTGTTAAGTGAATCACCACGGTTGTTAAGTTAGTAACCTGGTGGTTAAGTGAATCTGGCTTCCCCCATTGATTTTGTTTACTAGAAGGTCACAAAAGGGGATCACCTGACCCGCTGGGACACTTGGCAACCGTCGTAAAGACGAGTCAGTTGCCAAGCGTTTGAATTTTGAACCCCGTGGCCACAGGGATGCTGCAATGGTCGTTAAGTGTGTAGAACGGTCATAAGTCCCGTTTCAGTGCCGTTGTAACTTCCAACGGTTGTTAAGTGAATCCAGCTTCCCCGTTGACTCTGCTCGTGTTCTGTCCCAGCCCACGTTGAGTCCTGGTTAAGCTCTTCCATCAAGCAAGCTGGAACCACAGGCAAAAAACAATCCCCTTTTATTATTCACAGACCTGAGTCAATGTCCAAGGCAAATAAACATAGTTCTCAGAAACTCGATTCCTCAACACGAACGGTTGCCTTTAGCCACCAGCACCTCCCACACCTTCCCTTTTATGATGCAGCCCAGGTGTGGCTTCCTAATGCCTTCTCCTTTGCCTTTGGAGCCGCCCCATTGCATCCCTCTGTCCTACACTCTCTGTCTGCTGGTGCTTTCGTGCATCCGGGATTTGTCCCAGCTGTTCTTCATCACTGTCCAACTCAGCCTCCCAGCACAGCTGTGTCTCAGCCTGAGCGCGACTAGAGGGGCCAGGCTCCTTGTCAGACTGTAAGTCTGGAAGCTGCTCAGAGCCTTTCTCTGATTCTGATGTCCCTTCCTTCTCCTCCTCTGATTCCCCAGACTCAGCTGCCGGGTCCACTGGCCGGCAAGAAATCACAACAGCTTGTCCGGAAGTCACAAAAGGAGATCACATGATACCGCAACCATCCTAAGTACATGCCAGTTGCCGAATGTCTGAATTTTGTTCCCGTGACTGTGGGGAAGGCTGCAATGATTGTAAGTCTGAAAAAACGTCCTAAGTCAGTGGTGGAGAACCTATGGCACGCGCGCCCCCGCTGCCAGCAGCAGGTCCATCAGGCCGCCACCCAGAGCAGGAGCCCCGCCCAGCACAAAGGAGGCGCAGCCAACTAGCAAGCTTGAGTAGAGGTGGTAGAGTAGAGGTCACCAACCATTGTCAATTGGTGGACTGGAAGAAAAGGGGGGGAAGCATTCTACATGCGTGCGTGCGCGCACGGGGCCACGAGCACGTACACACTGCAAATGGGGCGGGGCTAGTGCCTGCATGATACTCACGAGCCCTGCCCTGTTCTTGCGTGGTGTAGCGCCTTGTATCTGCACCCTGCGGTGCGGCAGCAGCCGTTTTTGCACCTTGCAGCACGGTGGGCCCATTTTTGTGCCCCAGGTTTTTGCGTGCCAGAGGCGGCACTCAGAGGCGCCTCCCTGCCCCCCCCCCCGAGGGTACCACAATGCTGATGCGGCCCTGGCACTTTGTGATAAATAAGTGGGTTTTGGGTTGCAGTTTGGGCACTCGGTCTCTAAAAGGTTCACCATCACTGTCCTAAGTCACTTTTTCCCAGTGCCGTCGTACGTTCAAATGATCGCTAAATGAACAGTGGTTAAGTCAAGGACCGCCTAGGCGGTTGTGTTTCATACCAGCTTACCTGCCAGGAGATCCTTCGTGGCTGGACTGTTGCAAGGAAGAACACGGACAGGCGCTGCGCTTTCCTTGTCTGACTTCATTTGTGCCTCTGGATCAGAGCTGTCCAAAAACACCCTTTGTGGCTTGGGATCCTTTGCGTTCAAGACGCAATTCGGGTGGTGTTGAGATCCGGAAATACTCCTCAGGATATTCTCCGAGTTCTCTTGGAAATATAAGTGATCTTTTCCCCTGAAACATAAGCGCCCCGGGAAACTCAGTTCAGGCTGGCTTGGGATCCCTGCGGTGGTTTCAGATGTTGGGGTTATCTTAGTACAGGGGTCCCCAACCCCCGGTATGTGGACCGGTACTGGGCCGTGGCACACCAGCAACCGGTCTGCACAAACAAGCAAAGCCCCATCCGTGGGAGGCAGGCAGCACACAAAACCACACACCCTCCGGTCCGTGGGAAAAACCCTTCTCCACCGAGGAGAGTGGAGAAATATTGGGAAATTAATAGGAAATAAGAACGTTATGCTGTATTATTCATCAGATGGTGTAAGATGGTGAGAAATAGAGTACGTCTGAATAGATAAGAGGTGGATCCTGAATATTAGACCTTGTGATGAATTGGATAAAGCAGCGGTTCTCAACCTGTGGGTCGGGACCCCATTTGGGGTCGAACGACCATTTCACGGGGGTCGCCAAACAACGCAGTCCGCCATTTTTTCCCCCCCTTTTCCTTAGCTGTGCTACTCCCTTTTATTCTATTGGCTTTTGAAAGCCAATAGAATAGACTCTTCTGAATAGAGTCTCATTCTATTGGCTTTCAAAAGCCAATAGGAATTGTCCAGGCTGTCTCTGCCCTGCTGAGCCCGCCAAAAGTCCCATTCTGCAAACGGTGCTGCACCAGTTGAGTAGTCCTCGACTTACGACCGGTTGAGTAGTCCTCGACTTACGACCAGTTGGGGGTCGCGGCATTAAAAAGATTGAGAACCACTGGGATAAAAGGAAATTTGGTATGTCAAAATTTGGACATTATAAACAACAAAAGGTCAGATTCAAATATTAACGGGAAACTAAAAATTGGGAAAAACTAATTAGGACACTGATTGTCTATAAAGACCGAATGTTAAATAACTAGGATGTGTATAAGCTAAAAATTATGGATAAATGTAAGAATGTTATTTTTATTTAATCGATATAATAAGAATTGTATTAGTTTAAATATGAGACGGTAAATACTAAGAGGAAAAGAGAGGAAATATTTAATCTGGTAATTTTAGATTTGTATTAAAGCTCTGTTCTATTCTATTCTATTCTATTCTATTCTATTCTATTCTATTCTATTCTATTCTATTCTAAAATATAACATAACACGCATACACGTATATGTACAATATTAAAAGCATGGCTATCCTATAAAGCCAGCAGTTCTTTTTTTCCAAAAAGATAGGAAATATACATTTTGGAACCTTTAGGGCTGATTTTTTTAAAATCCTAGTTGACAGAAGAGTTTAAAAAAACGTACCTTGGAGTACTTGCTCTGCTGCTGCCTATGGACTCTCTTCCATGAAGGTGTGTGCCAGCTGGTCTGTGGATCTGGGACGGAGCAAGGGAGTGGCTGAAATCTGCAGCATCTTTGTTCGCATGTGCGCTGGGGACCGTGTGGCTGCTTTCGTACACATCGGACAGAGGTTCCAGATGCAGGGATATCTGCAGTGGGGCATTTGAGCAAGCCCGTAAGAACAGCTCCCAATTCACACTCTGTCTAACGCAGGGGTCTTCAAACTTGGCCCTTTTATGACTCGTGGACTTCAATTCCCAGAATTCCTCAGCCAGGCAGGGATGCCTGGCTGAGGAATTCTGGGAGTTGAAGTCCACGAGTCATAAAAGGGCCAAGTTTGAAGACCCCTGATCTAACAGGTGGAAGGTTTACAAGACTTCAGGGGCTTCTCGCTAATCTTTATAACAGTTTTGCAAGAAAATCTTTTTTTTGGACAAGAGAGCCAGGCAGTTGTAATGGTGAAGGCACCAGGATAGAAAGCGGGATATCCTGAGTTCTAATCCTGCCTTAGGTACAAAATCAACCAGTCCCGCTCTCATAGCCTTTGGAAGGAGGCCATGGCAAACCACTTCGGAAATCTTCCCAAGAAAACTGGCTGGTCAAAAAGCTGACTTAAAGGGAACAACAATAATAACAACAATATAATTTCCAGGAGAAGCTGGGAGATAATGGTTTGCTTAAGGCTATCCAGAACATTTACGATTCCAGAGAGATGTGTCTGTCTGTCTGTCTGTCTGTCTGTCTGTCTGTCTCTCTCTGTGTCTATCTATCTGTCAGTCTGTCTATCTCTATTATTTATCTGTATCTATCATCTACCATCTCTTCATTCATTATGTCTGTCTGTCTACGTATATCTATCTATCTATGTCTATTTATGTCTGTCTATCTATGTCTGTCTGCCTATTATTTATCTGTATCTATCATCTACTATCTCTTCATCCATTATGTCTGTCTGTCTACGTCTATCTATTTATCTATCTATCTATCTATCTATCTATCTATCTATCTATCTATCTATCTATCTATCTATCTATCTACCTACCTATGTCCATCTATTATTTATCTATATTTATCATCTACCATCTCTTCATCCATCATGTCTGTCTGTCTGTCTGTCTGTCTATCTATCTATGTCTATTATTTATCTGTATCTATCATCTATCATCTCTTCATCCATTATGTCTGTCTGTCTGTCTACATCTCTCTCTCTGTCTTGTCTGTCTATCTATCTATCTATCTATCTATCTATCTATCTATCTATCTATCTATCTATCTATCTATCTATCTATCTACCTACCTACCTATCTACCTACCTATCTACCTACCTACCTATCTACCTACCTATGTTTATCTATTATTTATCTATATCTATTATCTACCATCTCTTCATCCATCATGTCTGTCTGTCTGTCTGTCTATATCTATCTATCTATCTATCTATCTATCTATCTATCTATCTATCTATCTATCTCTATTATTTATCTGTATCTATCATCTACCATCTCTTCATCCATTATGTCTGCCTGTATCTATCTATCTATCTATCTATCTATCTATCTATCTATCTATCTATCTATCTATCTATCTATCTATCTATCTCTATTATTTATCTGTATCTATCATCTACCATCTCTTCATCCATTATGTCTGCCTGTATCTATCTATCTATCTATCTATCTATCTATCTATCTATCTATCTATCTATCTATCTATCTCTATTATTTATCTGTATCTATCATCTACCATCTCTTCATCCATTATGTCTGCCTGTATCTATCTATCTATCTATCTATCTATCTATCTATCTATCTATCTATCTATCTATCTATCTTGCTTTAATATTTTCTAAATCTTTGCACAACATTCAACAACCCTTTTGAGTTGTCTGCACCAATATCAGAAACCTGATTTTGAGCAACTCATTTTCCAAAAGGTTCTTGTGGGGAAAAAGAGGAGAGAGAAGGAGCATTGGATATATTCGCTGCCTTAAGTTATTTGTAAGAATAGTAAAAGTGGGATGCAGATAAAATGAATCCTCCGGATAATCAAAACAACTGCTTTAGAATAGGGGTCCCCAACCTCCGGGTCAAGGCCCATTCAGAACCAGTCTGCACAAGCAGTGGGTGAGCGCATTCACGCCGCTCCACTTGCGTGAACGGTGAGGGTGCCTGCCCATGCGCAAATCTCCACACACACCAGCAACTGGTGCAAACGGAGCTACCTATGCAGAGACGTCCGTTCTCCACCGCTAACGCCACCGGTCCACAAAACTGGAAAGGTTGGGGTCTGTTGCTTTAGAACAGTGATTCTCAACCTTTCTAATGCCGTGACCCCATAATACAGTTCCCCATGTTGTGGTGAACCCCAAGTGGGTGTGGCCACCAGTAAGAGGGAGTAGAACAGCTAGGGAAAAGGGAAAAAAATGGCGGACAGCATGGTTTGGCGACCCCCGTGAAATGGTCATTTGACCCCAAATGGGGTCCTGACGCACAGGTTGAGAACCACTGCTTTAGAACATCCAGATTATTACTAATTAATGTCATGGTTCCGACAGATGAAACTTCGAGGCATTGTTTACCTTAAAGACTCTTAAGCCAAAATCTGAATTCCCCTCCCCAGAGCACATAGTACCAAAGCACAATTCCCCACTCCGATTCGCAGTCATAAATCACATTCCCCAATTAGCTTGAAACGCAGGCTTCCCCTCCAGTTCTCCAGCCCACCATTTCTTATCATTTCTGGCTACAATAACCTTGTTTCTCATGCTAGGTCTAGAGCTGTTATGTCTAGCTGGACTCTCATTCACATCCCCCCTTCCTAGCATCATCTAATTCTAACTCTAAAAGCAAAAGGAACAAGATGGCTACATTTCCCTCTGTTGTCAGTGGAAAAACATCCGATGTGAGCAGCGTTGACCTTGACATTGTGTGCATTTTAAATTGATCCTTATTTACAATATTTCAGTGGTTCTCAACCTGTGGGTTGGGACCCCATTTGGGGTCGAACGACCATTTCACGGGGGTCGCCAAACAACGCAGTCCGCCATTTTTTCCCCCCTTTTCCTTAGCTGTGCTGCTCCCTTTTATTCTATTGGCTTTTGAAAGCCAATAGAAGAGACTCTCTTGAATAGAGTCTCATTCTATTGGCTTTCAAAAGCCAATAGGAATTGTCCAGGCTGTCTCTGCCCTGCTGAGCCCGCCCAAAGTCCCATTCTGCAAACGGTGCTGCACCCGTTGAGTAGTCCTCGACTTACGACCGGTTGAGTAGTCCTCGACTTACGACCAGTTGGGGGTCGCGGCATTAAAAAGATTGAGAACCACCGCAATATTTGGAGTTGAGGCCAGGCAGCAGAGAGAAAAAAAAAAGAATTTTGACTCACCTGCAGCTCTCCCATCTTTTCTGACGATGGAGAAACGATGGTGAAAAATCCACTGATTGGGTGGCTGGGGGAGAGCTGAGCCAGCCCCTTGATTTGAACCCGTCCGATCGGAAGGTGGTCTGATTGGGTCATTACTTCCAAAAGAAGAGCCCCCATATCTGTCGGAAGCCAGCAAAGAGGATCAAATTGGTCCAACTGGATAAGCAACATACGAATTCGAAGGGTAGGGATCTACTTCAAAACCGTATCTGTCGTATACAGTTGAACCGGGGTGTCTTTGAGGGTCCCTGAGTCGGTTTGTTTTCTTGCAGACGTTTCATGACCCAGCTAGGTAACATTGTCAGTGCTAGAAGGGAGGGGGGGATATTAGTGGAAGCGGTCTTGGTGGTTCCTGGGCTGGGGTGTTGGCTGTTAGCTTGTCTGGCAGTTCCTTGATTGGGTATTGTTTGCTCCTTGACCAAGGCACTAGACTAGAATATAAATTAAGAGCAAACCTCACTCCCTACTGGTGCTGATGATGTTTCCTAGTTTGGTAATGAAACGTCTGCAAGGAAACCACCAAGCTCAGAGAGCACCAAGGACCCCACAATCTCAGCCAGGCACGCATGCCTGGCTGAGGAATTCTGGGAGTTGAAGTCCACAAGTCATAAAAGGGCCAAGTTTGAAGACTCCTACATTAATCCTTCTTTCTTTCTTTCTTTCTTTCTTTCTTTCTTTCTTTTTCTTTCTTTCTTTCTTTCTTTCTCTTTCTTTCTTTCCTTCCTTCCTTCCTTCCTTTCCTTTCTTTTTTTTTCTTTCCTTCCTTCCTTTCTTTCTTTCTTTCCTTCCTTCCTTCCTTTATCTTTCTTTCTTTCTTTCTTTCTTTCTTTCTTTCTTTCTTTCTTTCTTTCTTTCTTTCTTTTCTTTTCTTTCTTCAAAACCCACTCCCTTGAAGCATTGATCATGTTCCTTAGTTTGGTAATGAAATGTCTGCCAGCAAACCACCAAGCTCAGAGAGCATCAAAGACCTCACAGTCCTTCCTCCTCCTCCTCTTCTTCAAACCCCATTCTCTCTTTTTTTTTAAACAATATTTTATTGAGTTTATATAGATAAGGGAAAATTAGGAACAATATGCCTATGGTAAGGGAGGGGGACGGGGGGAAGGAAATGGGGGATTTAGGATAAAATAAGGAAAGGGACAATCACATATTTTAACAAACAAGCAACTGTCCGGATCATAATAATGAGTGAATGTCTTAAAACAGTAGTTCTCAACCTGTGGGTGGGGACCCCATTTGGGGTCGAACGACCATTTCACAGGGGTCGCCAAACAACGCCGTCCGCCATTTTTTCCCCCCTTTTCCTTAGCTGTGCTACTCCCTTTTCTTCTATTGGCTTTTGAAAGCCAATAGAAGAGACTCTCTTGAATAGAGTCTAATTCTATTGGCTTTCCAAAGCCAACGGGAATTGTCCAGGCTGTCTCTGCCCTGCTGAGCCCACCAAAAGTCCCATTCTGCAAACGGTGCTGCACCCGTTGAGCAGTCCTCGACTTACGACCGGTTGAGTAGTCCTCGACTTATGACCGGTTGGGGGTCGCGGCATTAAAAAGGTTGAGAACCACTGTCTTAAAATAAAGTTAAGTTTTAGAAACACTCCATTTGCAATTCTCTTGAAGCACTGATGATGTTCCCTAGTTTGGTAACGAAACGTCTGCAAGAAAACCGCCAAGCTCAGAGAGCACCAAGGATGCCACAGACCTCCTCCTCCTCCTCCTCCTCTCCACCCCCCCTCTCTTCTAGCTCTGAAGTTGTTACCTAGTTGGGTCATGAAACCTCTGCAAGAAAACCACCCAGCTCAGGGATCACCAAGGACCCCACAGTCCTTCCTCCTCCTCCTCCTCCTCCTCCTCCTCCTCCTTCTCCTCCTCCTCCCTTCTAGCACTGAAGATGTTACGATTCTCGTACTTCTCAATTGCACTTAACCATTTCTCTTGTCCACCCTAAAAATAGCCAATGTGTGGCCCTTTCCAGAGGACCTCTGTGGACTGAGCACATCCAGGGCACACCCGTTCAACCGGTCACCCTATGAGTTGCAAAGAGCCAGCTCTTACCTGCCAGGTAAGAGGCAAACTGCTTGGGCCCACATCGCACTGGGTAGCAGGTGGTGGTGTTCAGGATCTTCTGCTCCGGCTGGGAAGCATCCTGGGGAACGAAGATGGTGCCGTTGCTGGTTTCTCCCCACCATCTCACCCGAACCAGGGACGGCACCGGCAGCTTGGCGACCATCCACAGGATTTTGCTAACGGTCAGCTTGAGGAAGCAGCGCAGGGCTCCTTCCACCAGAGGCGGTAAACTGGTAGAAGGGGAGACATCGCTGAGAGCTGCAGAGAAAGAACAGAGCGCAAATTAAATTAGATGATGACTATTATGACCTCCAAAGCGCCAGAAGGCAGAAGAAGCGACGGATGGAAAGTCATCAAGGAGAGAAGCAACCTGGAACTAAGGAGGAATTTCCTGACAGTTAGAACAATGAACCCGTGGAATGACTTGCCACCAGAAATCACTGGAGGTTTTCAAAAAGAGACTGGACAACCATTTGTCTGAAATGGTATAAGGTTTCCTGTCTGAGCAGAGGGTTGGACTAGATGACCTCCAAGGTCCCTTCCAACTCTGTTATTCTGTTAATCTTCATAATCATCTCCAAAGTGCCTGAAGGCAGGACAAGAAGCAACGGGTGGAAACTAATCAAGGAGAGAAGCAACCTGGAATTAAGGAGAAATTTCCTGACAGTTAGAACAATTAACCAGTGGAACTCCTTGCCTCCAGAAGGGGTGAATGCTCCAACCCTGGAACTTTTTAAGAAGAGACTAGACAGCCATTTGTCTGAAATGGTATAGGGCAGGGGTAGGTACCCTTGGCCCTTCATGACTCGTGGACTTCAACTCCCAGAATTCCTGAGCCAGCCATGCTGAGGGGAAAGGGAGAGGTTTCCAAGCTGAGCCATGCTGGCTCAGGAATTCTGGGAGTTGAAGTCTACGAGTCATGAAGGGGCCAAGGTTGCCTACCCCTGGTATAGGGCTTCCTGCCTGAGCAGGGGGGTGGGCTAGATGACCTCCAAGGTCCCTTCCTCCTCCTCCTCCTCATTATTAAATTTATATGCCACCCATCTCAGTGTTCTGGCAACTATGGAGCAGCTTACAGAGCAATAAAAAAAGCCAAAAAAGCCAAGACAGTGCTAGGCTGCATTAACAGAGGGATAGAATCACGTGAAGTATTAATACCACTTTACAAGGCCTTGGTAAGGCCACACTTGGAATCCTGCATCCAGTTTTGGTCACCACGATGTAAAAAAGATGTTGAGACTCTGGAAAGAGTGCAGAGAAGAGCAACAAAGATGATTAGGGGACTGGAGGCTAAAACATACAAGGAACGGTTGCTGGTATTGGGTCTGTCTAGTTTAATGAAGAGAAGGACGAGGTGATAGCAGTCTTCCAATATCTCAGGGGCTGCCCCAAAGAAGAGGGAGTCAAGCTATTCTCCAAAGCGCCTGAAGAAGGCAGGACAAGAAGCGACGGGTGGAAACTCATCAAGGAGAGAAGCAACCTGGAACTAAGGAGAAACTTCCTGACAGTTAGAACAATTAACCAGTGGAACTACTTGCCTCCAGAAGCGGTGAATGCTCCAACACTGGAGGTTTTTAAGAAGAGACTGAACAGGCATTTGTCTGAGATGGTGTAGGGTTCCTGCCTGAGCACGGGGGTGGACTTGATGACCTCCAAGGTCCCTTCCAACTTTATTATTATTAAAAAGTTGGTTTTTTTTTTAAAAAAAGGTACAGATAGTCCTTGACTTACAACCCCCTTTTTTTAGTGACCATTCAAAGTTACAGAGGTACAGAAAAAAGGGACCTATGACCGTTTTTTTCACTCGCACGACCGTTGCAGCATCCACGCGATCGCGTGATCAGATCAGATGCTTGGCAACTGGCAACCAGTTCTTGAAGTTCTGCTTATCCAGCCTGCTGCCATTCCATCAAGGCGGCTCTCCTTATAAAGTACATAAAAACACGACATTTTCCAGAACTGGTTTCCCACTGCCTTCCTCTAGAGTGGCCCTCCCATTCTCCCGCTCTCTGGGATCTCCTGGTGGTCCCCCATTCATCTCTTTCTCTGGGAAATCCTTTCAAGCAACAGCCAGGAGAGGAAAAAGCAAAGCATCTATTCCCTCGTCGTCTGCCTTCATCGATAGTGCCCGCCCCAGCTCGCTTTGATCCCAAGGCAGAACTCGAACACAGAACCAGTTCCCAAACTTCTCCCAGTATCTAATCTGCTGCCATTCCCCATTCCATCAAGGCGGTTCTCCTTATAGTGCATAAGGAGTTTCCCACCACTTTCCTCTAGGGCGTCCCTCCCATTCTCCTGTCCTCTGGGATCTCCTGGTGGTCCCCCATCTATCTCTTCAGCTGGGAAATCCTTTGCAGCAACAGGAGAGAGAAGGCAAGACATCTCCTCCTACATCTGCTGCCTTTGTCGACAGTGGGGGCCCGCAGCTCATTTTGTGGCCAAGGCACAACTCGAACTCAGAACCAGTTCCCCTGGTTATGTAGCCTGCTGCCATTCTGCATTCCATCAAGGTGGTTCTCCTTATAGTACATACAAACACGACATTTTCCACAACTAGTTTCCCACCATCTTCGTCTAGGGTGTCCCTCCCATTCTCCTGCCTTCTGGGATCTCCAGGTGGTCCCCCATCCAACTCTTCGTCTGGGAAATCCTTCGCAGCAACAGCAGGGGGGGGGAAGCATCTATTCCCACATCTTCTTCCTTCATTGACCTTGCCCCCCCCCCGCCAGCTCACTTGGTACCCAAGGCAGAACTCGAACTCAGAACCAGTTCTCAAACTTCTGCCGGTATCTGGCCTGCTGCCATTCCCCATTTCATCAACTGTGGCTCTCCTTAGAGTGCACAAAAACACGACATTTTCCACAAGTGGTTTCCCACCGCCTTCCTCTAGGGTCTTCCTCTCCTTCTCCTGCCCTGTGGGATCTCCAGGTGGTCCCCCATCCAACTCTCCGTCTGGGAAATCCTTCGCAGCAACAGGAGAGGAAAAACAAACAAAACAAAGCATCTGTTCCCACGTCTTCTGCCTTCGTTGACCTTGCCCCCCCCACCAGCTCACTTGGTACCCAAGGCAGAACTCGAACTCAGAACCAGTTCTCCTGGTTATCTAGCCTGCTGCCATTCCCCATTCCATCAGTTCTGGCTCTCCTTAAGAGTGCATAAAAACACGACATTTTTCACAAGTGGTTTCCAACCGCCTTCGGTCTCCCTCCCATTCTCCTGCCCTCTGGGATCTCCTGGTGGTCCCCCGTCCGCCTCTTCGTCTAACTCTTAAGGAAATCCTTTGCAGGAGAGGAAAAAAAGCAAAGCGTCTCTTCCCACGTCCGAGCCTTTTGCGAACCCGGGTCAGCCGCTGGGGTTGTGGGAAGGCGACAGGGACTGACCCAGCCCGGCCTCGACCTCCCTCACCCACCCGTCCGACGACGGCCGGCCGCCGCCCGGCCCGGCCCGGCTTTGCTCTTCTTCTGCTTCATCCTCGCCACTAGGCCCGGAGCCGCTGCCTAGCAACGGGCGCCGCCGCCGCCGCGCGGCCTGCTGGGAAAATGGCGGGAGGGCCGCGGCCTCGAGCGGTCCGCCACTTCAACTACCATTCCCAGAAAGCTTTGCGAGGGAACATAGAGATACGAAAATTGTTAGAAACACACTTCCCCCCCAACTTGGAGCCGTTTAAGATGGGCGGGCTTGAGGCGTGGACTTTAACATGTGTGGACTCATGTGTAGGCTTCCTGTATGGCAGGGGGTCCTCAAACCTGACCCTTTTATGACTTGTGAACTTCAACTCCCAGAATTCCTCAGCCAGCGTGCCTAGCTGAGGAATTATGGGAGTTGAAGTCCGGGGGGGGGGTCTTCAAACTTTGCCCTTTTATGACTTGTGGACTTCAACTCCCAGAATTCCTCAGCCAGCGTTCATTCATAATAATATGAATTATTCTTAGTAAGAAGTAGAACATGAAGGAAGAAAAATGTAAATAAGAAATGATGGGGCTATAAGGACAAATATTTAAAGAAGAAGAAGGGGGAAATGTAAATATTAGATTACCGTTACGTAATTGCTGTAAAAAAAGGAGTATATATTGTGTGTTATGTTTTGCTTTGTTCTGTTTTGCTTTGTTCTGTTTTGTCTTGTTGGTTAAAAAAAAAAACTTGGCCCTTTGATGACTTGTGGACTTCAACTCCCAGAATTCCTCAGCCAGCATGCCTAGCTGAGGAATTCTGGGAGTTGAAGTCCAGGAGGGTCTTCAAACTTGGCCCTTTTATGACTTGTGCACTTCAACTCCCAGAATTTCTCAGCCAGGCACACAAGGGCCAGGTTTGAAGACCCCTGTTGTATGGACTCAGGTGATGTGGACTTCAATTCCCAGAATGCCCCAGCCAGCCACCCACCTTAAGATTGAAAAACATTATTATAGAGCGAGAAAACAGTGAAATTAATTTTGGGGGAAATATCACATTTTAATCCTAATCCCTTCTTTACCAGGGCAGTGGCATATCTACCGCAAGACTGCATTTTTGTTGATGTCAGGGGAAGAAAGCCAATTCCCCAATGATTCCGATAAGAGCTGCAGCACTCTTGTTTTCCAGTCTGGCCCTGGAGCATGGGAGTTGTAGTTGTACGGCCAACATGCAAAGTTACTTCTTCTACTGTAATTTTCCATGAGGATTGGGCCTTACCCCCCTTTCTTCCCTCCTCAGTGTTGAATTGCTTGCATGCAAACAATTTGGCTATCAAGCTTCTCCGTATTTGCAGGCAATCCCCGACTTACGACAGTTTATTTAGTGGCCGTTCAAAGCTACAAGGGCACTAAAAAAAAGGGACTTACGATCATTTTTCACATTTTCGACCCTTGGTCACATGATCAAAATTTGAACACTTTGCCACTGACTCATATTTATGACGGTTGCAGTGTCCCGGGGTCATGTGATCTCCTTTTGTGACCTTATTACAGTGGGGGAAGCCAGGTTCACTTAACAATCGGATTACTAATTGAACAACTGCAGTGATTCACTTAACAACTGTGGCCAGGAAGGTGGTAAAATGGAGCAAAATTCACTTAGAAAAGTTTTGCTTAGCAACAGAAATATTTGTCTCAATTGTGGTGGTAAGTCAAGGACTATCTGTACAATGACTCCAGTGATAAAATAGGGAATGTAGATAATAGAATAGAATAGAATAAATACAGAATAGAATAGAAATATAGAACAGAATTACAGAACAGAATAGAAATACAGAATAGAATAGAGTAGAATAGAATAGATATATAGAATAGAATAGAAATATAGAACAGAATTACAGAACAGAATAGAATAGAAATACAGAATAGAATAGAATAGAATAGAATAGACATATAGAATAGAAATACAGAATAGAAATATAGAACAGAATTACAGAACAGAATAGAATAGAAATACAGAATAGAGTAGAATAGAATAGAATATATAGAATGGAATAATACAGAATAGAGTAGAATAGAATAGATATATAGAACAGAAATACAGAATAGAACAGAGTAGAATAGAATAGATATATAGAATGGAATAGAAATACAGAATAGAGTAGAATAGAACAGATATATAGAATAGAATAGAAATACAGAATAGAAATATAGAATAGAATTACAGAACAGAATAGAAATACAGAATAGAATAGGGTAGAATAGAATAGATATATAGAATAGAATAGAAATACAGAATAGAAATATAGAATAGAATTACAGAACAGAATAGAATAGAAATACAGAATAGAATATAGAATAGAATAGATATATAGAATAGAAATACAGAACAGAATAGAATAAAATACAGAATAAAGTAGAATAGATATACAGAATAGAATAGAAATACAGAATAGAATAGAAATATAAAATAGAATTACAGAACAGAATAGAAATAAAGAATAGAGTAGAATAGAATAGATATATAGAATAAAATAGAAATACAGAATAGAATATAGAATAGAACAGATATATAGAATAGAATTACAGAACAGAATAGAATAGAAAAGAAATATAGAATAGAATAGTGTAGAATAGAATAGAATAATATCTTTATTGTCAATTTAAATGTAGATTAATACATTAAAATAACATTTTGTTGCAGACAATTCTCCAAGGGTAACCATCTCCAACATACACTGCATAAACATGAGACCAAAATAAATAACAATAACAATAATAATGGTAATAGTAATAGTAATACATATACCCACATACACATAGATATATGACTCAGAGAAACAACACAGGTATACATGGCGAAAAAAACCGATCTTGCCAGTTTAGATCACTCTAATTATTATCTCTATGGCTCCACCAAGCCTCTCTCGGTCGGTCGAACAGACTCCTCTTCGCCCGTACTCCATTTTCATACTCCGCTTCCCAGGGTGCCTTTCGGCAACTTCCGGACGTGCGTCGCCGGGCGTGCCCCGATCGCAGCCCCGCCGGGACTGCCTTTCCCGTCCTGCCTCGGGGCGGGAGCCCCTCCCTTCCGGGCGAGCGCGGAGGGGCTGCTGGGAGCGGCGGGCCGGCGGCTCCTTCTGGGAAGGCGGGGGCCGGATCCTCCACGCCCCTCGGCCGCTGCGCTGCTCGCCGGGCCCCGCGTCCCCCTCGCCATGTCCGCCCTGGAGAAGCAGCTGCAGCTCGGCCGCCTGCCCCCTCGCCCGCCGGGCCCCGCCGGAGGCAGCGGCCAGGCCCCTCCCAAGATGCGCATGGGGTAGGACGGCGGCGGCGGCGGTGACGTCACGGGGGCCCCCGCGGCGGTGACGTCACGGGAGGGAAGCGGGGAGGCCAGCGGTGACGTCATGGGCGGCGGGGGGCACCCCTCTTCAATGGGGAGCAGAGGAGGGGGCGTGGCCCGAAGGGGGAGGATTGGGGGGGCTGGGAGGGGGAGGGGGGATGACCCTAGTACCCCTGCAAGGACGCTGGACTACATCTCCCATTATCCCCTGCCAGCAGGGCCGTGGAGGGGGGGTCCCTGCGAGCCCCCTCCCCACGTTCCCGATCCCGTTGGATGGGATTTATTCCGTTTATAGGTCGCCCAGATCAAAATCCGGGCTTCCAAGTGAGATTAATGTATGGGAGGGTCTCTTCCCTTCTCCCTCCCCCCCCCCGCCAAGCTGGATCATGGGGAGGGTCTCTTCTCTCCCCCCCCCCCTCATCTGGACCACTGCTCATTTTGCCCCCCTCCTTGGGACTGGTCCTTCTAACATACACACACACACTCCTTTGAAATACCCCCACCGCCTCCCCCTCCCCAACTGCCATCCTCCTGTCCTGCGGAGATCCCTTTCCCATCATCCCCAGCCAACCAGGACCCCCCCTCAAACATGCTCCCTTTGACAAGGGGAGGGGGTAGATCCCCAGGAGAACCAGCACCAAGGACAGGGCTAACCCCCCCACCCCAATGGACTCCCACCCCCTCCAGCCTGCCTGGAGGGGGGGGGGGTTGAGAAGACCTGGATGAGAGATGCTGTAGGGGGGGTCAGGCTTGGGGGGGGGCAGCGATTAATATTTATACGTTACTTATAAGTAAGGGTGTAGGTCAGGGGTAGGCAACCTTGGTTCTTTTATGACTGGTGGACTTCAACTCCCAGAATTCCTGAGCCAGCCACGCTGAGGGGAAAGGGAGAGATTTCCAAGCTGAGCCATGCTGGCTGAGGAATTCTGGGAGTTGAAGTCCACAAGTCATCAAGGGGGCCATAGTTCCCCCATGCTGGCTCAGGAATTCTGGGAGTTGAAGTCCACAAGTCATAAAAGAGCCAAGGTTGCCTACCCCTGGCGTAGGTCTTTACATATGTCATATATAGCAGTGGTGACGAACCTATGGCACGGGTGCCAGAGGCGGCACTCGGAGCCCTCTCTGTAGGCACACGTGCCGTTGCCCCAGCCTTGCCTTCACCCGCGACCCCCTCCTCACAAGCGGCCTCCCTGCAGTTGCCCCCGAGTGTGGCCCACACGGAGCAGCGCAGACAAGGACGTGGCAGCCAGGGAGCGTAGACAAGACTCTGCCCTCATGCCCCATCGCGCGTGGGCAGAGGGTGTGGCCACCATGGCGCTGCTGGGCTGCCTGGGCAATCTGCGCGGGGGGGGGCCCTGGAGGCGGGAGTGGCCCTGCGGGCAGGCAGGGTGGGGCGGAGTGGGGACAGGGCAGGGGGTAGAGCGGGGCGGGGCCAGTTTTTGGGCACTCGGTCTCTAAAAGGTTCGCCATCACTGATATATAGCATGCTTTAAATGTTATATTAATAATAATAATAATAATAAAGTTGGAAGGGACCTTGGAGGTCATCTAGTCCAACCCCCTGCTCAGGCAGGAAACCCTATACCATTTCAGACAAATGGCTGCCCAGTCTCTTTAGAATAGAATAGAGTTGGAAGGGACCTTGGAGGTCATCTAGTTCAACCCAATGCTCAGGCAGGAAACCCTATACCATTTCAGACAAATGGCTGTCCAGTCTCTTTAGAATAGAATAGAGCTGGAAGGGACCTTGGAGGTCATCTAGTCCAACCCCCTGCTCCGGCAGGAAACCCTTATACCATTTCAGACAAATGGCTGTCCAGTCTCTTTAGAATAGAATAAAGTTGGA